AGATGTAGCGGTCACAAAGTTCTCGCGCGAGTTCATCCGTAGTGCCCTGAAATGCATGCAGAACACGGTGGAGCTGGCGTTGCGTTTCTCCCCTGGTGGTGGAGGGATCGAGAAGGCTTCTAAAGAGTCGCCACGCACTCTTAGAGCTCATCTGCTTTGCAGCCTTCGAACAGGTGTCTGCCCAGTTAGCATCGGAAAGTTGTGCGGAGTATGCGGCCGCCTCTGCAGTGAGCGCCTCAATGCGAGTGCGAAGTTTCCGATTAAGTTTGTTGCGTTTCCAGCGCCTTATGAGCCCGCGGCGAGCGTGCCAAAGATGTAGGAGGTGTGGATCGATTGCAGGAGTCAAATTAGAGGTTGCAAGGGTGCGAGTGTTCGCTTGTTTCATATGAAGAGCGTATGATGCCCACGCTGCATATTCGGTCGAGGAGAGGCCGGCGGGGAATGGTTGCATTCTGAACTGAGTCCAATCGGAGCGACGGGCTTGGCCCCAGTGTTGGCGCATTTTCTGCCGCGGCGTGAACGAAATGCGGAGTAAAAGTGATCGCTTCCTAGGGTTTCGCCTGAATTTTCCCATGGAGCATCGCGGATGTGACGGGTGAGGGAGAGGTCGGGGCATCTGTCTCGCCAGACCGAGTTGCCGGAACGTGTGGGTTGTGCCGGATCGGTAAGAAGCGTCAGGCTCAGCGAGGAAATGAGCTCCTTGAGCTCTCTGCCCCGGGCCTTCTCGTAGTGGTAGCCCCAGTGAGGGCTGGGGGCATTAAAGTCCCCGACAATCACCAGTGGTTGTCGGGCCGCTATACGCAGTGCCCGATGGAAGAGATGCGCAAACGAAGCCCTCGCAAGGCGAGGGGGACAGTACACGTTTAAGATATGTATTGATGGTTGGCCCCTCCGCTGAGACAGCACTGATATCATGCAGTAGTCGTAAGGAAGATCCAGATCGAGGTCGATCTGTATCGCCGTGTAAGCTTTATGCACGAGGAGGCATGTGGTGGTGCCGCCTACATAGGAGCAGTATCCAGAAAGGGATGGAGCAGGGCCAGATTCTTGGAGCGCCAAGACGGCCGGCTGAGAGCCAAGTGAGCTGAGGTAAAGGGAAAGATGTGAATGCTTTCGCCTGTTCCCGAAGCCTCCAGGGTTCCACTGTATGATCTCGAATTTAGACGCAATGTTTGAACGGGACGTACGATTGGTAGCCATCGTGACTGTCCTAGGTTTTATATTTGGTCCTCCATGTCCCGCTCGGAATCCTCAGAGGCAGGGAGGGGCACGGAGGCCGGATTGTCCGACGGCGGGGTGGTGGTAGCCACCTTACGACGACGCCGTGGAGCTGTACCCTCACTGCTCACCGAGCAGGAGCGGGAACGCGATGCCTTGGGTTGAAACTGGGTGATTGCCCAGGCTTGAATAGCCTGGGTAACCTCTACTACTATGCGTTGGACCGAGAAGCTGGTGAGGAGGTGATTAATCGAAGCTTCGACGCGCGTGAGGCGTTCCTCTACGCACGGGGTGTGCTCTTCGCTAGGGAGAGTTTGGTTAGCGGGCAAGAGAACCTGAGGTGCCCCAGGAGCCTCAAAAGCTTCTGGAGTAGATGTGGCACCGGTTCCGAGTGCTGGAGTACACATGGCTGCTTGAACCGGCGGTTCAATGGGAGTGGACTTAGCGCGAGGACTAAGCTTGGACGTAGCTGGCGTAGCCGCCTGGACAGAGGAGGCAATACCGGATGGCCTTGCAGTACACTGTTGTTGGGGTTGAAGTCGCTTATTTAAGAGTTCTAGTTGTTTAGTTAAAAGAGAATTTTGCTTTTGAAGTGCCGCAACTTGCTGGCGAAGGGCTGCAAGTTCGGGAGAAGGAGGATCGACAGAAGGGGCTGAGAGAGGCTTAGAAGCAGCTTTCCCTGCCCAACTGCTCACCTGAGGTACCGCCGCTGGTGCTTCGAGCGGTGGGAATGCTTGAGAGTCGGCGTGGAGTGGTGGAGCCGAATGATGCAGGTTTGTGCTGCTGTCTGGCTGTGACGAACATGAGGTGGTCCCTCGAGGAGATGTTGAGGGCTGCTTGCGTTTCCGATATTTTCGGTATTTTGCCGTGCAGCCACTGGTCCCAGTCTCATGGGCGCCGTGGCAGAGGAGGCACTTGGGGTGGCAGTCGTGGGCATTGAGACCGGCAGGTGCGGGGGTCCCACATTTGGCACACTGGGTTGCAGCGGCGTGAGGGCACTGAGGTGGTCGATGACCAATGGTACCGCACTTGGTGCATACAGGGACCGTTTTCTTATAGGCGCGGATATACGTCGCCACGCAGTGGTAAAAGAGGAAGCGGGGTAACTTCGTGCCCTCGAAAGTCACCACCGCCGCCGCGGAATCTCCGAGTTTGCGGACCGCAAGGATAGTACCTTGAGGCCAATACAGTTCAGACTTTATCTTTTCCGGGCTTTCAGCAGGGTTTACATTGATGACGCCCTTGCATGTATCCCCTGGTGCCTTGGCGTGGCCTCGAACGGGCAGCTGCTGATCTCCCACTTGCAGCTGGAAGTCCCCGAGGAGTCGCTGTGCCATAGGCAAAATGGTGGTGCTACAGACCAAGATGTTCTGTTCCCATATTGGCCACACTTGAATTTGCGTGGTAGTCCGGTCGCCGAGGTAGCTGCGGATGGCGTCGCCCGCGCGATCGGCCGGGACAAATGTGCGTAGCTCGCAGGGAACGCGAGGTTTCAGCACTACGATGTAGTCGTCGCGAGAGAGGCGAAGAGTTTGACGCGGACGCCACTTGCGTTGCTTCGCTGGCTGCGAGGACGGAGCAGAGGTAGGCACACCGCCGGAGGGATGGCGCGCCGGCGTTCCTTGCAAGGCTGGGGAATGGTGGCCCGCCGTGGTGTCTCGTTGTTGTTGAGACGCAGACTTCGATTTCGCTTGCTTGCGTTGCCACAGTTTCACCATGTCGTCGAGGTATTCATCTTCTGATGGCATAGGGTTTTCGGAGGATGAAATCTCCATGGACAGCATTTGGCTTGAGGTAGGATCATAGCCCGTAACCACGTTAGCGGCCGCCATCGCTGGGCTGAGAGCCCTTAGCGAGGCGGCGTTGTAGCCGGGAGTGAAGGACGTCCCTCAAGTTGTCAAAACTGGACCCACCTGGACGAAGGTGTTGTCTAGGCGAAGCGGAGAACTTGGCGGTGACGATAAATCCAAGTTTAAGGGGTACCAAGGTGGATGTCCGCAGAAATAGCAGAAAATCTACGGAGGCGATGTGGAGTGCGTCCGTCACCATCGAGCGCTCGCAGCGCCCCCCGGGAGAAGAGGCGCGTGCACAAAATTTTTTGATGTTTTTTTTTCCGTTACGCCGGCCTCTGTTGCATCTGCTTGGTGCCTGGTTTTCACGTAGCCTTAATGACATGCTTTGGCCGCAAATAAAACACACGCAAAGTAAAGGAACACTCAACGACAAGCGCAAGTGTTCCTTTACTTTGTGTGTATGTTATTTGTGGCCAAAGCATGTCCTTAAGCAAGTACCAACTAGGCCAACAATCAGTATTGTTACAATATATTTCATGTAGCCATTAAAAATTGGAGCCATGCACTTTCTTGAGCGCTCGTTTGGGACAGCTGTGTAGTCACTGTGGCTACTTTTGCCTCAAATCTCGCTTGTATTGTACACCATGTTTGTGCTACTAAAGGTGTTCGAAGATGACCTTCACAACTTTGATCATATGACCCCTTCTGGCACGAACCATGATGGAGTGTGTGCCAAGGTGTCAGATCCAGACAGCATAATACCGGGGCACTTGCAATTGTATTGCAGGAAAGACGAGATGTTGATATTCGAAATTGAAAAGCTCGTCATTCTTTGTTGGATACAACCTTATATAGAACAAACGGACAATCAACCCAAGGAAGGTATACACTATTTTCCAAATGTCCTCAAGTTCCGTCATCTTGGAATGATAACATTGCACTTTCATAGCTGAACCAAATAAACACACAGTGCTACGGTGAATTCAGATGCACAGAAATGCTTCATCTGGTACATTCAGCATTTCATGACATTGATCATCTCATATTCAACATAGAAGATCGAATCGCTCGTCACTCCAAGATGACGAAACCCTCAGGTTGAAAATAATATTGTGTATAGGAGACATTATTAGTAGTAATTACGGTATAAAATGTGGAGAAATTGACACGTACAAACAGACAAGCTGCCATCGTTGGGAACATCTGTAACATTTGAACGATGCGTTTCATGCTCTACAAATTGAGCTATGACTGGGGTTGTTCTTTTTGAAGTGAAGCTAGCTTAGCATACCCTGGGCTGTCATTGTAGTAGTAGTAGCAGCTTTTAGGCGTTGCAGGCCTCAAACATGGCGTCCCTCTGACTTGCACCCCACAAGTAGAGTTATCGTCATAGTAGTAGTAGTAGTAATGGTGTCGTATGACGATTAATTATGAAAGCAGTGACGACTTGGCAGTCAGAGTAGCCCTGGTCCGACAGGAATGCAGACATCGTGCAAGGCAATGACTGCAGAAACTTATCCTCTTCCTCTTACTCACTACAATAGTAGTAAAAGTCACGCAGGTCACTTGACTTATGAGGCGAGTGAATCAAGAAATAGAATGAAATGATAACTATGGCTTTTGGTACAAAATGACATTGAATTTGCACTTTCAATAATTGTATTAATTGGAAACCTAAATTATTTCGTATTAAATGAAAGCTAGACATCTGGCTGTGTCCAAGGATCACGTAGATAACTAGGAGTGTACGTATGTTTTGGGACGATTCTAGCTTCATCAGCTGCAAGCCACACGGCGCGAGGTGTATTGACATCATGTGATCTCGCTAGCCAATTACATACACTCAACACTCAACGAACTTACAGCTTTGCTTTCCGACGGTTCTGAAATTATTCTTTGTTCAGTCCCACAAGAAACGTGATGGAAGGTTCCCGCTGTGCAGGGATGTAAGGGTGGTCTAGATAGTATTGTTTTCTTTCTTTTTGGCAGAGTGCCTCAGATGCAGTTCTGGCCGTGGAGTTCCACCCGATGGACCGGCACACCCTGGTGACGCTTGGCAAAGGCCACATCCACTTTTGGGACATGGAGGGTGGAACGCTCGCCAAGAAGCTCGGAATCTTTGAGGTACCTTGACAGGCGCCCACCGCGTTGAGCTTGTTTTTCCTATAAATTGGCAGTGTCTTTTTCGTTGTCTTCGGTTTGTTGGGTGTTTGCATGCTGTCACCGTTGGGATTCTATTAGGAAATTGAGGTGGGTCTTCTGGTAAAAGCTTTTTATGGAGGGCTTATTCATTCCAAAGCATGCATACAAAGAGTACTTGGCTTTACAGAACTGATTATGTGTACAAAAAAAAAAAGCCATTCGTAAAACGAACTGAAGCAATAAATGTAAAATGGAATGAATGAATTATGAGATGCGCAATTTGAAAAAAAAAAAAACCATTTGTAAGAGTATGGTAGGTTCTCAGTTAATGAAAATCTTTTAAATAGAATGGCTGGTTAATAAACAGAAAAACTACATCCATTATGATTGGCTTTTTTTACTCGTATTTGGCAATTTTCTAATGCTGCTCGTGGTAAATGGAACGCATCTTCCAAGTATGTCCAGGTTCTGTTTAATGAAGGAGTACCGAAAATAGTTCGTGTGCTCGCATTTTATAAAGTATGAAAGAAAATCTTTTTTGTATAGGTTACACCTGAAGAAAAAAGGATTAAAGAATGCATGCAAATTACTAAGGAGGAATTCACATTACCTGTTTGCTGTTGAAATTCTTCCTGTTCTGTACATTTTACATTTGTCACAAAAAGTTGTAACCCGTATAAAAACATGTTTAATATATTCACTATTAATTATAAGCACACAGCCATCCCTTGAAAATAATTATAAAAATATTTTAGATTTATTTTGTTTTTTCAGATTATTTTTTATATATGTGATCATTTCATAGAGCTTAATATTTCTCTAATGTAGTCTAATAGGCTAAGTTCATTATCCAGAACTACATATAGTTTATATACCACATAATGGGCATTTTATTCACTTAGGTTTGAAATCATTTTACTTAGCAGATGTACTATCAAACTAACTTGAAGTTACTATAGAAAAGGAAAAGCATATTTCATTATTTCTAAGAGTAATGAGGTGGCTAATTTATCTAACGTTTGTTGCATTTGTCAGGTAACATCATTGGGCATATCTAGAAGACTTTTACAAGTCTTAGCAAATAGGATCGTCACTAAGACAAAACTACTTGAAGTGATACTATAACCACGTAAGTAGACCCCAGGCCCTCATAGCATATAATTATGCAGTGTATCAGGAATACTCATCAACTGTATCATTTGTGTATAACGCAGACAAAGTTTGTTTATTACATTGGCAATATTGTTACGTGATTTCGTCTGACTGAAAGAGGGCATAGTGGGGCATACCCAAGGAGGTGCCTCAGACTGAGAGAAAACAAGTGGACGTTCTCAGTGAGCTGCGTTGTGGCTGCGGACCGACAACTGTTATTTTCCACGTAACATTTTGGTGGAAGTGCTGGGTGCTCTTCTGACAACGGAGCTACGCAGTGGACGCCTCCTTAAGTCTGCTACCATGGCTCCGGGTGAGGATACGGCTTCGCCACCTACCTCAGCAACGACAGCAACCCGGTACGTCACCCTAACGCAACCCCGTGATCCCGGTACCTTTACTGGAGAGGACAACGTGAATGTGGACAAGTGGCTTAGCATGTACGAGCGCATCAGCAAGCAATATGGCTGGGACCCAACCGTTATGCTTGCGAATGTCATTTTCTATCTTGACAAGACCCCTCGCACCTGGTTTGAGACCCACGAGCACGAAATCACAAGCTGGGAAATGTTTAAGCAACAGCTCCGCGACCTTTTTGGCAACCCGTTTGGTCAACAACTTGATGCCCGAAAGCAATTGGCTGTCCGTACACAGACGTCCATTGAGCCCTACTTGACTTATATTCAAGACGTCTTAGCGTTGTGTCAAAGGGCCGATCCCAACATGACTGAGGCCGACAAGATTTCGCACGTGTTAAAAGGAATCGCCGACGATGCGTTCAGTCTGCTTGTATTCACCAACGTAACGACCATGGACGCCGTGATCAAAGAGTGCCGCCGTCTCGAGCAGGCGAAGAGTCGACGCATTTTGCAGCAGTTTCAGCGCCTACCCAACACCGCGGCAACGTCGTCTTGCGAAGCCACTCCTTGTCATCCGTCTACAACCGAAGACGTGACGCGCATCGTCCGACGTGAACTCGAGGCCGCTTATCCGGCTGCCAACAAACTACCGACGTTGCCCGACGCCTCAACGCCAGCTGTTGCCTTGATCCAGGCTGTTGTCCGCCAGGAATTCGCAAACCTTGGTATCCTGTCCACTGCATCCACACTGGATAATACTGGTCCCTCGATAGCTTCTGTGGATATGAGACGTCGCCGTCCGTACTCTATTCAAACCAGGAACCCGTCTGAATGGCGAACAGCTGATGATAAGCCAATCTGCTTTCGCTGTGGTCGCGCAGGACACATCGCTCGTTACTGCCGCAGTCAATGGCCATCTATGTCTTCTGGCTCGTACCCCGCTTACAGTAGCTCATTCCGTCCACCAAACCACCGTTATCCGACCCGCACTCAGTCTACAGCATTTACTGCCCCTGAGGACTACGGCCACTTCGCCCCGTCGTCGCCACCGCCTCAAAGCCGCCTTTCTCGTTCAAACACGCGTCGCCGCTCTCCCTCGCCATCGTTCAACCGCCGCTCGTCCCCGGAAAACTAGGCTGCGCAGCTTCTGGAGGTGAAGCTGCCCTGTCGACCTTACCCAAAAATCCTCTGTTGCCCTTACGTTTGAACCGGAACACCCTAGAAGTATATGTTGATGGTACACCTGTTGAAGCTTTGATAGATACGGGCGCTCACGTCTGTATTATGAGTTCGCGTTTTCGTCGTCGCATGAAGAAGGTCCTCACGCCCCCCTTGACCAGTGTCGTCCAAGTTGCAGATGGTGCAAAAGTCCCTGTCGTCGGTATGTGCACAGCTCAACTTACCGTAGCCGGTCATCAAGTGGTCGTCCTTTTTACCGTGCTTGAAACATGTCCCCACGACCTCATACTAGGCCTCGACTTTCTTGCCGCCAATTCTGCTCTGATTGATTGCTCCGCTGGTGTGCTCCGCCTTGAACTACCACAAATCAGTGCCGCCCCGTACCAACCTACATGCCGATTACAATGCAGCGATTTTGTTCGCCTGCCCTCGAAAACGGTGACGTACGTCGATTTTCTGTGCTCACCAGCTGTGCCCGACGGTGACTATTACGCTACGCCTCTCACCGACGTACTCCTTGCGCACAATGTTGCAGTGCCCTATACGGTGCTCAGCATCACAGATAACAAAACATGTCTACCTCTTGTCAATTTCGGCTACATGAATCATGTGCTTCCACAAGGCATTTCTGTGGCCCACCTGTGTCCGTTGCTCGATTCACAAATTGAAGTGCTTGCCTTAGACACACTTGCTTCACCGCAGTGCACATCACTCGCAACACATTCGGGCAGCCGTCAAATTGTAGACATGATCGCCACTGATCTTCCATCTCCGCAAGTTGAAGCCCTACAACATCTTCTCGAGGCCTACCAGGATATTTTCGATTTTGGTGACCGACCTCTTGGGCAGACGTCCTTTGTCCAGCATCGCATACACACAGGTGATGCCAACCCTGTTCACCGCCGTCCCTACAGAGTGTCTGCTTTTGAGCGGAGCATAATTCAGAAGGAGGTGAACAAGATGCTAGCGAAGGACATTATTGAACCATCCTCCAGTCCCTGGGCATCCCCGGTGGTATTAGTTAAAAAGAAAGACGGATCGTGGCGATTTTGTGTGGACTATCGCCACCTTAACAACATCACCAAGAAAGACGCATACCCTCTGCCCCGCATTGATGACGCCCTTGATTGCCTACATGGTGCCGCCTACTTTTCTTCCATAGATCTTCGTTCTGGTTATTGGCAGATTGCCGTGGACCCCATGGACCGAGAGAAGACGGCTTTTGTAACACCCGATGGCCTCTACCAATTCAAAGTCATGCCTTTCGGCTTATGTAATGCCCCCGCCACCTTTGAACGAATGATGGACTCCCTGCTCCATGGATTCAAGTGGTCTACGTGTCTTTGTTATCTGGATGACGTGATTGTGTTTGCTCCCACTTTTGAAGCGCACCTTGAGAGACTGTCAAAAATTCTTGATGTATTCCGTCTCGCCGGCCTTCAGCTGAATTCATCTAAGTGCCGGTTTGGTCGCCGTAGCATTACAATACTTGGACATATTGTTGACGCTTACGGTGTACAGCCTGACCCAGAAAAAGTTCGAGCTGTGAAGGACTTTCCTGTGCCGAAAACCGCCAAAGATGTCCGCAGCTTTGTGGGGCTCTGCTCCTATTTTCGGCGGTTCATCAAGAACTTCGCGGAAATCGCTCGGTCCCTAACAGATTTACTCAAACCGGATGAGACGTTTACCTGGGGTCCCTCGCAAGCAGCAGCATTTTCCGACCTGACCACTTGGCTCACTTCTTCTCCTGTGCTGGCTCACTTCGACCCTACGGCACCGACGGAAGTGCGCACCGATGCCAGCGGTTACGGAATAGGCGCTGTGTTGGCTCAGCGACAACGTGGGCAGCATCGCGTGATAGCTTATGCCAGCAGGCTGCTGTCCACCTCGGAGCGTAATTATTCCACCACAGAGCGCGAATGCCTAGCGCTGGTGTGGGCAGTCGCGAAATTTCGCCCTTACTTATACGGCCGACCATTTATAGTTCTTACCGACCACCACGCTCTCTGCTGGCTCGCCTCCCTCAAAGATCCCACAGGTCGTCTCGCCCGCTGGGCACTCCGCCTCCAGGAGTATTCTTACACCGTAGTGTACAAATCAGAAAAACTGCACAAAGATGTGGATTGTCTGTCACGCTACCCTGTGGCCGACTGCGATCCTACGAGCACTGATCCTGTGGGCTGCGTCCTTTCCATCTCCCAGCTGCTTCATCTCGGGGACGAGCAGCGTCGCGATCCGGATATCAGCCGCCTAATACAACAGCTCGAATCTTCACCGCAAGACGCTTCCGTTCGCATGTTTACCTTAAAGGACCACACCTTATATCGGCGTAATTTATCGCCCCATGGTCACGACCTACTTCTGGTCATACCAAAGCACCTGCGTTCTACAGTCCTACGCGAGCTCCATGACGCGCCAACCGCGGGTCACCTTGGTGTCTCTCGCACACATGACCGTGTGCGCCGCCGCTTCTACTGGCCTGGCCTTTCACGTTCTGTACGTCGCTATGTCAACGCTTGTGAAATTTGCCAGCGTCGCAAAAAGCCGTCGAGACTACCTTCCGGATATCTTCAGCCCATCGACATCCCATCGGAGCCATTCTTCCGTGTTGGTTTGGACCTTCTCGGTCCCTTCCCAACATCCGCCTCCGGAAACAAGTGGGTCGCGGTGGCTACGGATTACGCGACCCGTTATGCAGTTACGCGAGCCATGCCAACAAGCTGTGCTACAGACGTCGCTGATTTTCTTCTACGCGATCTCATTTTAGTGTATGGAGCCCCTCGTCAACTGCTGACAGACCGAGGCCGTACGTTCCTTTCGAAGGTGGTTGACGATATCCTGCGTTCCTGCTCTACCCAACATAAGCTCACGACATCGTACCACCCCCAGACAAATGGGCTTACAGAACGTTTAAACCGCACCTTGACAGACATGCTATCAAAATACGTCTCGGCCGACCATCGTGATTGGGACCTTGCACTACCCTACGTGACGTTCGCATACAATTCCTCCCGGCATGACACTGCCGGGTACTCGCCATTTTACCTTCTGTTTGGACGCGAACCAACATTGCCGTTGGATACCTTCCTGCCAGCCGCTGCGCAGTATACTTCTGAATATGCACGCGACGCTATTACCCGAGCCGACCATGCTCGTCAGCTTGCCCGCAGCAGGTTAATGGCATCCCAAGACTCGCAGAAGCATCGTTACGACGAGCGGCATCGCAACGAACACTTTCCAACAGGCTCCCTCGTTCTTCTTTGGTCCCCTACGCGACATGCAGGCCTGTCAGAAAAACTTCTCTCTCGTTTCACGGGCCCATACCGCGTGCTTAGACGAGGGACCGAAACTACATATGAAATTGTCCCTGATAATCCATCAACCTCTTCCGCTCTGCTGTCAAGGGACATCGTCCACGTATCAAGGCTCAAGCGTTACCACACTGCTCCTGCTGTGGCCCCGTAAACTCGCCGGGTCGGCGCTTTCGCCGCCGGGGGTCGTGTTACGTGATTTCGTCTGACTGAAAGAGGGCATAGTGGGGCATACCCAAGGAGGTGCCTCAGACTGAGAGAAAACAAGTGGACGTTCTCAGTGAGCTGCGTTGTGGCTGCAGACCGACAACTGTTATTTTCCACGTAACAATATAATTTGTTAATTCGAACTTTCTCTCTCTGAAGGTATGTTCGGCTAGCTTTCAACCTGACAAAAGGTCAATGCTATGGAGACTTTTAGAACAGTATGTTACGTTACAAAAACAAGGCTTTCATGAGATGAAAAAGTAATAAACATCAGAGAAGGCACCCATGGTGTCACTTTTTAGTAAAGCTCAGATTGCACCAGAAAACACGCAGGTTTCTTGCTAATAATCACATCAGCCAGTTTTACAAAGAAATGCACTCGCAAATGATTTATTTTAGAATGACAGCTGACTTCGAGAGGAGACAATAACAGACAGAATAGCATAAAAAGGTCATATGGTAACACAGATTCAAGTTCATAAATGGCACTAAATTGGTATTGCCACCAAAAAAAAAAATCTAATGGCGAATTAACCGTCACTGATCGGTTACTGCTATTCCAGAGAGATGGCAAAAAGTGCAAACAAAACAGCAATAAATAGGCAAGATGATTTTTTTTTTGTGAACTGTCCTCTACAATACAAAAGGAATTAGCTCTGCGCTGTACCATGCTTGCACCCTGGTTGATGTTATCCTGGTCACTCACGCATGTGAACTTCCTCTGGCATTGTCCTCGCATGATCACGTCACATCCTGTCCTGCACGCACATCCTTCTTCTGCTGTGTCCCCACCCTGTTCTTCCTTTGTCCTTCGCTGCCGCTGCTGCTGTCAATCACGGCAGAAGGATGGTCCAGGAAGTGGTGATACTACTGTCACAAGCAGATACCTGGTGGTAAGTTTGGTGTATCACTGAATTGCTGAGAGCCCCGCTGCGGTGGTCTGGTGGCTAATGTACTCTGCGGCTGACCCACAAGTTGCGGGAGCATATCCCGACTTCGGCGGCTGCATTTTCGATGTAGGCGAAAATGCTGTAGGCACATGAACTGTACCAGATATAGGTGCACGTTAAAGAACCCCAGGTGGTCGAAATTTCCGGAGCCCTCCACTATGGCGTCTTTCATAATTATATCGTGAATTTGGGACGTTAAACCCCACATATCATTGGATAAATCAATATCAACCTGGTGGGAGGCTCTTGTTATGGTTTTGATCTTTTCGAATGTGTGGTGATGTGACAGAATTAAAATTTTGAGAAAGATGACCTTTAGAAAGCTGCAGTTTTTCAGAAGCTACACGTTTTAGACGTCATTCATAGGTGTCAAAAACATTATCTTCACTCTGTTTCAGTCACCACTTTAAGCCATAGCCGTCACTGCCAACTTTAGTGCACTGATGCAAGGCCACCTCGCACACTGAAATTTTCATTTAGCTCATTTTCTCTACTCTAGCATCAAATTTTCTGTATTCTTTCAATGGGTTTTCGGGAAAATATGTTTAACTTTTGCATACATTAGGTTGGGGTGTGCACTCATTTTATTTTATTTATTTAGAAATACTGCAGGCCAATGCTTTGGCCCAAGCAGGATGGTTATTACAACAAAAGAGAAAACAAAATAAAAGAAAATATATTCATACACGCGAGTGCAATTCAATACGAAATGAACATAATGCGTAAAAAAGAGGCAGCAATCAGCCCTTGACTTCAGCAAAAATTCACAAGAAACAGTGGTGTGCCAAGGCAGCCATGACCTTTCCTTATGGCTCCAGGTCAATGAGATCACTCAGCTCACCAGTACAAACTTGGCAGAGTTGCACCGGAATGTTCTCTCGGGTTGAAGCTGAAACATTTGACCGAAATTTTGTCATTTTATTAGTGACAGCAATAAGAGTAAGTTTATATATCCCCTAAGAAAAAGCAGGCAATGTTGGACAATGCATTATTTCAATATCAAGCCAGTTGTCACTGCCTTTACACTAGCTCTATACATCATACTCAGCTGGTGTCCTGTGGTTCACTCTCTTTTTCTTGCTACGCCGCATAGGTTCCATGTAACATTGAGGGATGGCAGTGACTGTTTCTGAAGAAGGGCGAACGGTGCGCAGTTAAGAAGATGAGCAGTTCTGGTACACTGAGAAATGCTTTGGCTTGCTTCCTTGTTAACACACGAGTCTTGCACCGAGCTCAAAAGAAAGAGTCTCGTGTCACTGAGTGGTCGTTGCCTTGCAGAAGAGCAACAAGCCCAAGTACGTCCTCTGCATGACCTTCACCGAGCTTGGCGAGCTGCTAACCGGTGACTCCAACGGAAACATCATGGTCTGGCAAAGGGGTGAGCTCTGATGTTACTACGCTCAATTGGGAAAATCAACGCAGAAGCCCTTAAAGTTATTCTACGAAGCATGCACAGTATGATTTTGTGCATTAATGGTGCAACAACGTCCTTTAGCCAGGAGGGGGCTCTGTGGGCCCATTTAATGAGATATTAACAGCGAAGTCGCTTGAGGCGAGCATTAGTCCGCGATAGGTGAACGAAAATGATCGTCATTAACCAGCACACATTTTCTTCCTCTTCCTCGTCTTCTGCTTTGCCCCAGAACATGCCTTGCTGATTTCTCTGGTGTGTACTGTAGAGTTCGGTGAGTTGGTGCGTGATAAATTTGTATTGCTATAGCATATCTCAGCTTGGGCGTGAAGAAAAGATGCAACAGCGAAGAAAGGAAATACAGACAACAGGACGAATGCTAATCCTGCTGTCTGTATTTTCTTTTTTTTCGCTGTTGCATTTTTTATTGCTGTAGCAACACGATTTTCTCCAATGTGGGACTGCAATAACTTTGATGGGCAAGGGAGCGAGTACAAAGAGAGCGAAGAGAAACAAGAAAGTCCTTGATTGAAAAAATTCCTGGTGAGGCCAGGTTCGAATCTGGGTATCTACGATACGGAGTTGAGCATTTTAACCTCTCAGCTATCCAGGCACGCTAGCAAAGCATGGAGAGAGGAACGGGCCACGTGGTAACATGTGGCCCTTTCCTTGTATAGCTTGGAGTAGCAGAGGAGCTGGCAAAGGGAAGTGACATCAAAAAAGAGGCTAATGAGTAGGCGGAGGGGAGAGAGTAAAGCAAAGTGTGTAGAAAAATCAGAAAAATAGAAATTCAGAGAAAGAGAGAAATAGATGAGAGAAAAAAGTGAAAAGTGCAAGAGAGAGAGAGAGAGAGTGAAGTGGCGAGAAATAAACAGAGACACAAAACAAATCAAAAGAACACATAGAGGAAAAGAAAGATAGTAAGAGAAAACTAAAGATGAAGCAAAGCAGGCTGCCCAGCCAAGCACTTCCTTCAGGGTTTGCTCCACCAGCGCAAGGCTGCTTTCATTTTTGTTAGCCTAAAGTAACTGTAAAGTTAGGGTACTCATCTTCATTTGCGCTAGGAAGTTCCGTAAAGCTAGTTTTAGGGCACCGAGTGAAACTACAGGAAGACGTGAGCTCTACAGAACTTTGGGAAGCACGATGGATATACGACTCGGGTACGTGTTGCTGCTATTGGCATATGTCGTAAATAGTTGCCTACTGGGAAAGAAATGCAAAACTCAATTGCCAATTGAAGGACAGTGAGTAAATGTTTAGTGAATGTCGCATGTGGCAATTACGCTGACTGCATTACCTTCTAGCTACATAGTTAAGCAGTGCTAACACTCATATTTAAGCTGTGCTTTTCTGTGATCAGAAGTAGTCATGCTCCGTTTTCGTGCTTACACTGAAATATTTCTTGCATATATGAGTGGGTGATGCATTATGCACTTTTTTTATTCTTTTATGATTAGCTCTAGAAGGGTTTGAATTAGCTGCATATAGCTTTATATCTGTTTGTTATTTTAGCTGATTTCGTAATTTTACTTCATCTAGCTTTTGTTTCATAATTGGCCTTATACTGTTGCTTGTACTGCACCATGTTTGCTTCATAAGTTTCTGAAGTGACACATCTGTGGCTACAGCTACGAAATGCACTTTACAGGGCAGCAGTGGTTTATTGTTGGTAAATGAAGAAATAAAATCTCCTAATAGGTACTGAACGTGCACATTCAATAGGGCGAGGAAACACCGGAATGCACCGATCATTTGAATGATGCGTACCTCAATCCGTTCAGGCTCCAACAAGGTGTGCCGGACTGTAGTGGGTGCCCATGACGGTCCACTGTTCTCCATCTGCGCCATGAAGGATGGCACGATAGTCACGGGTGGTGCGAAAGACCGCAAGGTGGTCCAGTGGGACTCCAGCCTCACAAGGACGGGACAGGAGGCCAAGGTGAGGGAAGGGTTTAAGCGGCTGTGCATAACGCCAACCGTTTCAAATTATAGAACAAAAATTCAGTGGCAATTTACCGTTAAGTGCGAAAAAAACTTTTGCATCATCTTAATTATTTCTGCTTATCTTCACTTAACCTCACATTCAGCCCCAACCAGCATTACCCGATGCTGGTAGTGTGTAAGTAAATGAAGTTGGTGGCTCCGCACGAGCTATGCAGTTCTTGTTTCAGTGTAATTCATAATTCAAATACATTAACAATACACCAATTTATTTTCCGTTATTCAAGAAAGGTCAGGGAAATAAAACCTGTCAGAGAGCTAATACTGTGCGTGGTTTGCAGGGGCAATCTATTGTTGTGCTCTGCGTAAAAATGTGTGCACTGTGATGACGAAGAGTGACTCCAGGTTTCGAGCGCACGGGCGGTTTGTTCTTGAGAAGAAGATAAGAATAGAACAGCTGTCTCTCAGCAAGGGTTCTGTCTCTGTCCGGTTCATAATAATACTTACACAATTTCTTTTTTATAACAACCTTCTGGTTCTGTAAGAAACATTGCCTTAGATTGCCCCAGTGGGCATTTCGTCATCTTGGCCCTTTCCTTTGCAGCTTCCAGACATGGCTGGTGGGATTCGAACCCTCGCCCAGGGCAAAGGCAGCATGCTGCTCATCGGGACGACCCGCAACTCGATTCTCCAGGGGACATTCAGCCTCAACTTCTCCACTGTAGTGCAGGTGGGAGGCCGTGGAGAGAGCCTGTAGATTTGCTGTGGCAGTGTAAAAATATGCTAGCAGAACTTACCTAACAAGTGTAGATGTTTATAGGATTTGTAATTGCGATTTGAAGTTCTTCTCTTTTATCATCCTAAATTCTTTCGTTTCACAATACCACACCAGCTTCAATCAGTTCATGTCTCGATACTCCTCGCTCAGTGCACATTTTTTACTCTTTGATTGATTGATCACTTGATTGATTGATTGGTTGTGCACCAGTTTGCTACAAGCGTTTTGATTGTTGATCAGACTAAAACTGGGACTGTTTTTTGAAGGTGATATTTGTATCGTAGGTGCAGAATTGAGGAGTTAATGATGTTAGTTCACTTGCATCGTTATTGTGCTCACTAAAAATTAACATAATCAGACACTCTAGTATTCCAGTTCATCTCATGAACTGCAGAAGATATTTTGCTACCATCTTAATAAGATGGTGCTTCAGAATATTTTATACAAGTACTGCAACAATTCAGCAATGGTGAATTCAGCTAGAGCACTGCGTAATCTGGCTGAATGTTCCCTCACATGGTGCACAGATATAAAGCACTTCAGAAGTTCTTAGCGCGTCAAAGCTAACTCTTTCGCAAAGCATTGTGTCATGGGGCTTGCTGTTTGCAGGGCCACACGGAAGAGATATGGGCACTGGCGGTTCATCCAACACAGAACCAGTTTGTGACAGGCGGCTACGACTGCCAGGTGCATCTGTGGGACACCCTGTCGCACTCGGTTGTCTGGAGTCGTGACCTGGGCGTGAGTGTTCCCCTAATAGTGTCATGCAGAAAAACTAGGCTTGTGCGAACATTTGAATGCTTTAAATATTTGATACAAATAGTATTGTATTTGAACTCGTTTCGGTTCAAACTTAAGTTATTGAAAATTTCGAAGTATTCACAATGAACGGATAAGTGTAGTATATTAAAGAGGCACTGGCACAAAATATCGCGGCCGAGATAGCCGGTGGGGTCGATTCTCAGGAACATTCGTATATCATCTGCGAAATATCAACAGCGGATCTGGCTGGGAAGGTATTTCAAAAGAATTTTGAAGTTTGCGGGAGCCCTCAACTCCATCGTGCCATTGTACACCATCCAAGAAAACCCTTTCGAGGACCCCCTACACTCCCTCACATCACCACGCTGCAGTCAACAAAACAAGTTATGGTGACGTCATAACCGGCATTTTTCTTTTGCCGCGTTTGTTCTCGCAGTCTATATTTCTCGGCAGCTGGTTGCGAGTGCGTTCCCGTGGCGCACGCTTAGAAATTTTGGTGTTTGGCGACATTGCAGTCCCGTTTCCTATTCGAAAGCAATTCTTGATGCATTGCCGTGAGGAAGTGTGTCAGAGTTCTGTGTGGTGACGTGGTCAAAAGCTGCACACGCTAGGTGGCGACAGTTGCACCCAGTTTTTGGAGCTCTCTCAAACTAAAGCTGAAGCTGATCGATAATGAAGGGCCTGTAGCTAGTTATCTGTCGCATGCTGCAGGAAACAATGTATCGTGTTATAGCTAACAGGCCCCCAGCAACACATTGCGGCAGAAAAACGCGAGGCCGAAACTTTTTGTGTCAGTACCCCATTAATCCACATGTAACTTTCTCTAAAGGTGGTTTCACTGCAGTGAAGAAGTGCTTAGTTGTGAAAACACCTGTCCAAGGAAAATTTGCATTGCAACGAAGCGTCATTTCAAGGTTAAATGAACATATTACCCTAAAATCGATAAATCATTTTCTTAGTGTAAACGCTTGTTATGCAAGATTATATGCTCTAGATATAGTACATTTCAGAAATGTTACATATTTTACAGATTATTCTTTGCATTCTACCGAAAGTCAAATCCTGCAATGTACTATTGTAAGTTGTCTGGACATCGCGGTATCGAATCCCGGCTGCGGCGGCTGCATTTTTGATTAATGCGAAAATGCTGCAGGCCCGTGTGCTCAGATTTGGGTGCAGGTTAAAGAACCCCAGGGGGTTGAAATTTCCAGAGCCCTCCTTTACGGCGTGTCTCATAATCATATGGTGGTTTTTGGACGTTAAGCCCCACTTATCACTCAATCAAGTTGTCTCGACATCTTTTGAACCAACAAAATGGCACTTGCACAGAGGCTTTTTTTTTCAATTAAAATATATATATATATATATATATTGTACAGGTTAGTTCGGCGGTGATAAATATGCTCGTTTTTCTCTATATGTTATATATGCTATTTGAATTTGATTCGAAGTTATTTGACCAAAATCACTATTCTCTTCGAATTGACTTCGAATGTAAAATTCACTATGCACACAAGCTTGAAAAAAACATCTCTGCAAGAAGTGCGTGTTAAATGTATTTATTAGCTCAGGGTCTCCCGGAATATTCCTGTTCAAATACTGTTGTCTGAATTTTTGCCCTTTGAAGTACCAGGATATCAATAAAAAAATTGGGTAGTTCTAACCGCCAAGCCTTTCTATAGCCATTAAAAGTTCAAATCACCACAGCTGCATCATAACTACCTCTGAATATCTGCCGCTGCATTTGTCTAAGAATAAGCATGCTCTAACTGGATCGATAAGTGAGGCTTATTATACTACTCAAGTGTGTAATCAAAGCTTAAACCAGACGTCAATAACTCTGGCACCGAAGCAGCTAGCTACTTTTTTTGTTTTTGTTTATAGTATTGTGAAATAATGATGCTGTCTTGGCTTGCACATGGCAATTATGTCAAATCAAATTTCAGCACTTTGTCTTATTGCTCGCTTCATGCATACACATTTTCTCACACTGATGTGCCACAATGAATTCATTGCCAACTAACTCAACTTTCTGCGCTTCTACGTGCACACAGGAACAGGCACAGGCTGCATGCTTCTCACCTGACGGAAGTGTTCTGGTGCTCACAACGCGGACGGGTCGGTGGAGCGTCATCGACTCATCGACGCGGCAGCTATACTCGATGCACAGCGACGGCACCTGAACCCATCGACGCCGTCGCATTCTCGCCAAGTGAGTGTGGTGCTTTGCGTGCAACCTTTCCTTTTTTTTTTTTTCTTTGGAGTGCTTGTCGGGGGGGGGCTTTAAAGAAAGATAGTCAGTTACGCTTATATAGAACTCTTACCGTATTTACTCACATAATTTGCACACTTTTTTTCATGATTTTGGGGGCCCGAGAAGGGGATGTGCAGATTACGCAGGGATTTCGCTAGTGCATACAAAATATTGTGTTGCAATCGTAACACGTGCAGTATGTACATTTAAAAAGGAAGGAATAAATTGAAGCACAAACAAAGTGTACTCGTTAGATTTGAAAGAAATAGTACGTACTTTAACCAGTCAGATCCGGTCACGCGCAGGTCTAGCGGGAATCGCTCATCGCAAAGTCCGATTGGGAACGATCGTTGCGGCCGCTGCCACCACCTTCCCGAAGCGCATCAACCTCGGTTACGTCGTGGACGTTTCAATGCCCCGTTTTCCTGAATCTGTTTCGACAATGCTGGGAGAAACTGGGTCCCACGACACAGGGATACTGCAAGAAGTAAGCATCCGCACACAATTGATGAAAAGGCCTCCTTGAATGGCAGGAAACTTGTATCAGCAAGCAAGCGCACTCTCTTGCTTTCTCGGGTACTGATCGTGCCGGTCATCACATTGAAGTATGTCTCCTTGAAGTGCTTTGCATGCTTCCCGCTTTCTTCGTCAAAATTTACAACAGCGAGCTTCGATTTCGCCATATATTTAATTATTGTAGTACATTGCAAGGAACCCGTCAGAACGCATCGGCCGTATTGTGGAACCTAACCTTCCGAAATCGACCAAGCGAGCGTTGCACTGGTGACGCAGAGAACGAGGAGAACAGTCAGTGCACGCCTCCGATGCAGAAAGTCGTCCGTGCCGTGACGCGAGCGTACATTCTCCCCATTGTCGCGGTGGTAGAGATTGACAGGGGGGGGAGGGGCAAATGCTCGAGCAGTTCTGGCAACGCGTCAACAGGTTTTTGTTCGGGTGTGCTGTTCTATAGGGACACTATATTATAGTTCGGGGGCAGTCCTCCGTAAAAGGGACTTCATACTCGCAGCCTGTTTGACTGCGCCCGTCTGCTCAGCGAGGCGCGCACCCGGCCGAAGCATCGAAATGTTCAAAGGTGCGCGCTCGGACTAGCTGGGTTTGGAAGGGTCAGGGAGCGTGAAATATGCGAGTAAATATTCTTTTTCTGAAAACCTGGTAAAATATCAGGGGTGAGCAAATTATGCGAGGGCGCAAATTATGCTCGTAAAAACGGTACTTTAAATTTACAAACATCCAGGATTGTGGTGTGAATGGGCTATGCATTGCGACACAGTCCAAAAGTCTTCACAGGCCTTATAGGAGGCATAGGACGATGGGGGCATCACAATAATAAATGGTTATATACAATGAATATGTAATATCGTATGAGATGTATTGCCATTATGCATACTTATAAATTATGAACACATTTAATTACACAACTGTAGAGGTAACTAATAACTGTTTCAATGCATACTGCAGATGGCCAGCTCCTTGCCCTTGGCTCGCGCGACAGCTTCATCTACGTGTACCAAGTCAGCGAAGAAGGCCGCAAGTACAATCGCATCAGCAGGTGTTCGGTAAGTTGACGGCCGTGACAACTGCATTCAGTGTCTCGCTCTGGTTGGGCTGTGTGTCTGCTGACGTCTCTCTGTCAGTGTGCTACTGCTTACTTCAGTGCCTGCTGCTTATTGTCTCGCACATTACTCTCGCTTTTCTTTGTGTTTTATCGAAATAATTGATATTGCTAACCTGACCGGAAAGAAAGCAGCGTATTGCATTTGATTGGATGGAGGAACAATGCATGCAAACCAGTTACTCACAAACTGATTTGAACATTTTTCAGCCTCCAGTACGATTGGTAAGCATTGCCTCAGCTGTTAAAGCCGACAGTAGTGGGCGCGTAGGAGTGCCATGCATAAATCTTTTGTAGAGCGTAACAGCTGTTTATTTGATTAAGGGGGTGTATGTGAGTAATTGAAATTGAGCTCGTAAAAATAGAATGCTTTAAAAGATAAAAATGAGCGCAAAGCACACAATATGTTGCGTGGAAGCACCTTATATTCCTTTTTGACCTTTAGGAACAGTAATAACAGAAGCTTTCAGTGATCGCTCCATTCAGAAAGTGCCATTTATTTGCAAATTTCGTTTCACCAAATAATGACTGTCTTAACATCACAGTATGTCCAACACAGCTCCAGCGTTTTAAGTTGAAATGGATAAGTGCATGAATAAACATCACTGCTAAGCAGTGATGCTTACTACCGTGAGCTGTGATGTGATGCTTATTGCACTGTGAACTGCGCCCCGTTAAGGTAGTGTTGAGTGAGTTGAGAACAAAAAAAAAAATCTAAAAAGAACAGACTTTTTAGCTTGTATCATTTCAATATGCAATAGCATAGGCAGTCACCCGCTTCTAAACTTATATTTTAAGGTCACAAATATTTTAAGGTCACAAAGTTGCAGTGCTGTAGGTAATGCAATAATGCTCATTTTCTCTCAACCGAGGAAAATAAATGAATAAGTAAATATTAAGTTTATGTCTGGTATCAGTGAATCAGCTGTAAATTAATTCGTGTTTCTGGTAAGTAGGGCTCACCGATTTCTTTCCATACTACTTGTATTCTTGTAAGCATTAGGCAACAAAGTGTTCAGTTTGTGCCAACTTGTATTAACGTAAACATCTCTCCACGCTTCTGATCAATTCTAAGCGCTGTTTCTTATAAAATACGCTTATTTTCTCTCTGTGATTTTGTTCCTCTTCTGCGATCACCTGTTCAGTAATCGTAATACTGAGCCCGTTTCACTTGTGATCAAATCTTTTCTGCTGCTTACCAGCTTCTCTCTCTCTTCTCTTCTTGCCTCCTCACTCTCTCCCCCTCGCTTCAACGCGAATCGCAAAACTCTCTTTTGCGTAACACTCTCTCCCCCCTGGGTGTCACGTGACGCCCCACGGTCTGTCCTAGAAGCCTCCTCCTCCACGGGACCAGGAGGCACCGCGGCGAACCCCCAGCTTTCTATGGGTATGAATCAGCACGAAGCAGCAATAAAAAGCAATTACGATAATGATAAAGACTAGGGGTGTGCGAATATTGAAAAGCTTTAGCGATGAGCTAATAAATGTACCGTACACTCAAACCTCATTATTAACAAAGTAGCATCTTGCAAAAACATGATTTCGTTATATTCGAAAACTTGTTACAAAAGTTATTCCTAACCCAGTATGTGTTGTAAGACTACTTTTGAATTACCGTGATAACTGATACTTTTTATATCCGTGTTCATTATATTGAGGTTTGAGTGCATTTACTAGATTCTAACGCGACCACAGTTCTAACGTGAAAGGGGACTTTTCATTGCATCCAGGAAGAAAAAATTTTTCTCTCAGTATTCAATTGTAAAGTGAGAGTCGACTTTAGGTAGAAAAAACATCTGGAAGAAAACTGGCGTGGAAAGAAAGTAAATATTTCATTGTTGATTACAGCTTGATTTGCAGCTCGAATGACTGCTATTCACCTGGATGAACGCTTCTTGAAACAGTTTTCAAGCATTTTAGAACTGTAAGCAGCGCTTCTTTGGTTTTGTGTCTGCATTGCTTGCATCATGTCTCTCATGTTCCACGTTCAGGAAAATTTTACAATAACCAAAGAACTAACGAAAACTTGCTAATGTTATTGATACTAATGGGGCATAAAGGTTTCCTTATGAAAATTGTGTGAGAAGAACTGTCCAGTACTTGAAAACTATTTGAAGAGACTGTTGCTGTGTGCAATTAGATTTGGGTGGAATTCGGCCTCGAAAATTGGTATTTGCACACCCCTAATGTCGACTGCTACTGCACCGTTTCATTCTCTTTCTCTCGGTTTCTTCTGTGCTGCATTGTTTTGCATTTCTTAACATTTTCGCATGTGTCTTTCGTCATCTCGCTTTTATTTTTCTTCTTGCGCTGTGTGCCTTAGCCCTTTCTCTCTTCCCGCTGTGAGAAAATGTGTCTTATACTCTCTAAATATTTTCCACCATTTGTTGTGCACTATTGTCATATAAAGGCAATCTGTCATATCTCTCCTTGTGATTAATTTTTCTTTTTGCTACGACTCAAAGTATCGCATGTATATGTGTAAACAACGCTGCTTATTCTGGATATTACCGTACACTCTTCGTATTCTGTATGAATGTTTTGTATTGCATATGTGTTGAAGGTAGCTTATTATTTGTCACTCATGAACTGTGCATTGCACAAAGGTTAGTCTCTTATCCCAAGTACAGTAAAAGCTCGTTTATCCTGACCTCGTTAACTCGAAAATTCAGTTAACTCGGACTCGCGGCGCGGTCCCGGCAAAACTGTGTATGTTTTAATGAGGTCAAATGCTCATTGATTCGGAAGGATTTAGCCACGCACCGGTTATCTCGGAAAACTCCGGAGAGGGCTATCGAGACTCCAGAGTCGCGCGATCTCGGCGGCTTGGAGGCTCAAGCACCGCTCGCCGTAACCGACGGCAGAACCGGAGTTTTGGAGAAACCGAAACCGAGCGAACTGCAGCAGAATATGACGATGATAATAGTGAATGAGGGGGAAGTGGCTAGGTGGCGCTAGTCACCACCCGTCAGAAGCGCTTGGGCCACTGGCGCATCCAGTGTCTACTAACAGCTGCTCGCTACGCCCATGCTACGCCTACTGGTGTACTACTTCGTGTCTTGGTTTTTTGTGTTGTGACTTCGCGTGTCGCGGCTGTGTTTGTGCGTGTCGCCGCCACCGCCGCGCTTCATGGCGACCGTCACAGGAGTTAAGCGGCCACAGCAGCCAGAAAATGATCTTGAAAAAAAGGATTGTGATATTGAAAGACGTGATGAGCCGACGCGACGTCGCCGCACCATGCAGGAGGCCTCCGAAGCCCTCGCTGTCCTCGAGGAGTTCTGCGTTTGTTGTCGCGACAGTGAACGTACGCACCACCACCTGATGAGATTAAATAAGATCGTTCTGTCAGAAATTCCGACGGTGAGGAGAGGCAAAAATAACACACTTTTTTAAGAAATAAAGGTTTGTCGGTGCCGTGTACGTTTTCCTTTTGTTTTCATGGTCCGTTCGATAATTCGGAATTCGGTTAACTCGGACATTTTCTTCGGTCCCGTGAGATCCGAGTTAACGAGCTTTTACTGTATGTTTATTAAGTATGTGCAGATGCTACATACTTGTTTCATATCTGCAAAATATAAATCTTTCAAACGAGCCACGCTTTAAGTGAGGTATTCTTATTTTGTCAGTTTACATTACTTTATCATTTTATTGTGCTATTTTTCATATGCACGATACTTAGATAAGCTGTGAATGTTTTTAACTGGAGACATAATTATTTAAGGGGAGATGCGAGTCGAAAAATCGCGTTTGTAGCGAAATTTCTCATATTTCTGATTTTTATTGCATTGTAATCTTCAAACCTTCTTCTTTCATCTGTGAAAATTTCAAAACTAAATTCGAACTGCAAAATGCAAAAAAATGTGTATGAAGGCATCGCGGTGGCTCAAAATTTCGTGAATTTGCGCCGATATTGGTCATCTTTGACTGCGCGCTGCTCCCCGTCGCAGTGCCGCCCACCATCGCAATCGGTTGGGAAAGTTGCGTCCGGCCTTCTTCTTACAGCTCCGACGACCGCCAGTTTCGTAGGTGGGCAAAAAAATAAATAAAAACGAGGCCTCTTTATCACGTGGTTTCAGTGGTTTGAAACGCGTGGCACCCTAAGCCGCATCGCCATTGGCTACCGAGTCATTGTCAGCTGTGTTGGTGGCGGCCATCGGCATTTGGTCCGTCTGCTTTTCTGCGGGTCTACGCATATTTCCGCGATGACAAGCTCGAAAAAGTGCAACGTGAGACCGCAGAAGTTTCGAACGAAGCACAAGTTCAAGGGAAGGCGGCGTAAAGCGCCCCGAACGACGGCGACGAACGAGAACGCGCCTACGTGTGCTAGGCCTGACGGTGGCATCGACGAGTGCGCGAGCGACAGTGGCTGCGATGAAGGGATTGACGCTGCGCTTTCTTTCGTCAGTGCTTCGAAAAAGAAGCTCAGCTTCTTCGAAAAAGACGAAAGACAGCGCGATGAGGTTTGTGCAACGACAGTTTTGTGCAACACCCTCTTGCTGATGGCACTTGTGGCAGGTGCGGCATGCCCTGCTTGCGGTATTCAAAAACTTGCCGTTGGGAGCCGGCAGAAAAGCGCAAGGGACTTTCGTCGCTCCTCGAACTTCATTGCGAAAACAGCGAATGCTCAGCGACTGTTCATTCGTGCTCCTATACGTCACTGCGTGTTACGGCGGACGGCAGCAGCCGAGTGAGCCAACGGTACGACATTGGGAGCTCCCGAGATAGTTTCGCTGTAAATGTGAAGGCGGTGGTGGCTGCACGCGCTGTCGGCATTGGGCATGAGCAATTGTCGAGATTTTGCTGCATTATTGGGCTCCCAAAGCCAATGCACCGCCGAGGATTTTTTTCGATAGCCAAGAAGGTGCACACCGCTGCCATGGCAGCTGTGAGTGAAAACTTGCGCCGATCCAGAGAGTTGACGAAAGAAGTAGCAGGCGAAATTGATGTGGCTGTTATGTTTGACGGCACTTGGCAGAAGAGGGGCCACAAAATCCACAACGGGATTGGCGCAGTTATCTCCTTAGATACTGGCCTCTGCTTAGACTTCGAGGTCATATCAAATTACTGCCTGACATGCAGTAGGCACAAGGATATGGGCCCAGATGAGGAAGTGTGGCAGGCATTCCATGGCCCAGTCTGTGAAAAAAATGCAGACTGTTCCTCCTATGCCATGGAAACGGAGGCTGCAATGCGCATTTGGCAGAGAACATTGACTTATGACACCCCACTGCATTTCATGACATTCTTGAGTGACGGTGACAGCAAAGCATATAGTGCAGTTGCAGAGTCAAAAGTCTATGGTGCTGTCAATATAGAAAAAGAAGACTGCACTAATCATGTGGCCAAGAGACTTGGCACCGCGCTACGGAAGCTGCATGTGCCATTACCACGAGGGCAGAAAATGAAAGAGCCAGCCATTCAGAAGCTCCAAACATACTATCAGATTGCCATAACAAGCAACAGGGGGAGACTAAGTTTGTCTCCCGAACGGTTGTCGAGACTGCCGCAGCTATGGCAATCCTGTGGTTCAACAAGGGTCATGCTACTTTCGAGCACATCCTGGAAGAGCTCAACATACTGCCATCTAGAGATCTAGTTACTTTCAGTGATTCCCGCGATGCGAGGCGCATCACGAGCATGTCCAAGCGTCTGACAGCAGAAGCAAGGACCCACCGTCGTCGTGGAGTGAAAAGGGCACGGCTAGAAGAGAGTGCTCGCAAGGACCGTGAGGGCGCAACCTATGCTGCAGGACAGTTCTAGTAACTTGCAGTGCTTTTCAAAGTTCTGTTGATGCGAGGCGCATCAAGAGAATGTCCGAGCGTCTGACAGCAGAAGCAAGGGCCCACCGTCGTCGTGGAGTGAAAAGGGCACGGCTAGAAGAGAGTGCTCGCAAGGACCGTGAGGGCACAACCTATGCTGCAGGACAGTTCTAGTAACTTGCAGTGCTTTTCAAAGTTCTGTTGAACATTATGGCCAAAGATTATGCATTTCTAACAACTCTGTGATAAAAGAAAAGGTTTCAAACTTTCAAATGCATTTTTCTCCTTTTGCAGTTTTGTGTGATCTGTGCTTCTTATACACGCTAGTTTGTATACTTAGAATTGTCATACCTCTATGAAATTTTGCACATAGCATGATGAAGGCCCATAGAGTGCAAGTATTTATTCAGATTGTCAGTGCTGCTTGATTATGTTTTTCAAAAATTACATAACATTGAAAGCCCTTGGCAACTAGAGCCATAGTAAATTTTTCTATTTTATTATTGTATTTCACCTTTTTACACACAAAATTTGTATAGTTTTTTGCACTCTACAGTTCCAAAGGATCATAGTTAGTTATATCTGCATGCTTTATCTCAAATCTGCATGCTTTATCTCAAATAGGTCAGAATTGTTGCATAACAATGGCCATAATTTTGCAGTATCTGACCTGCAGAAAGAAAACCAAGCAATCTACATGAAAATAAATGACATATTTGAAAAGAGGAGAAAAAACTCTATTAGCATTCCAATTTGTGTTGAATTCAGACTCTTATTAAAGAAAATCGTTTTTCGAGTAGCATCTCCCCTTAAGCTTTATTTTTGAAGTGCTTTGTCCATTCAGTTCTTTTTAGTCTTAGTAATATTGCTTTATTTAATTATAATGTTGAGTTAACACTGTGCTATTGTGCATTTTGTAATTTTAGGTTATGGTCATGTCTAGCCATATGGCCCCAGTGAACGCAGAAAACGTGCTGGAATTATTTCATGCTAAATTTAAGCGCTCATTGTGATAGTTATAGATGAGGTGATATTTGAACATGGGTGAAACTGAGCATCACCATAGCCGGGCACCACAGTTTAAACTAAAGAGCAGGTTCGACTATCTGCTGCCCACGCTTGGTGAAAAAACACATTTCGTGAATGTTAATCACTGCTGTAAAAGCCAAATTTTGTAGTTGTGCCGGCATGTAGTGTTTACAACTGCAGCACGAAGTTGACACTCTTTCAAGCACACTGTTTCCATACCGACTCCCTGATCTCACTTGCGACTGGGCGGGGCAGCCGTGCGTCATCAAACAGCAGATTGCTGCTATTACGCCAGCTATGAATAACTGACGTGAATCGTGAGCGTCGTTCGATGAAATTCTTGTTATATAGTGTCATAAAGTGCTAGTGCTGCAGTCTATAGTGTGATAAAATTATACAGTACCATTACTACCGCACACAGGAATCGTTGTGGGACAGAACACGAAGTCGCGTCGCACATTGACATAACTTTGTTCCCCTGTGCCATCCCTCTCTGTGTAGCTGCTTTACCAGTCCCGTAGACAGTAGACAACGAACAAAATTGACACACACGATGACTGGTTGGAGATGGACGCATGCAAATAGAATTTATTGAATTTTCACAATCATAATACAAGCAGACAACATCAACTGACATACCCTTTACTGGATTCACCCATCCAGTTAAGAGTCAGTCTGATTTGTCTTGTTCTGATCGAAATGCTACTTTCATTTTGCTGTACCAGAATGCTGCAGCACAAAGTGGTCTTTCTGTCACGAGTGGGCGCCGCACCACGCTTTATGAGGGATTTGGTGTTGCGCATGATTTATCTGATGGCTATGTTGACAACAGAATGTTCAAAATCTGTCAGAAACGATGAGCTACTCCGAATGGATGGACTTTTAAGGCAAGCTCCCACAAGGAAGTGACATGCCATGTGTTGTTACATACGAATTACTGGGGATGCCACTGAAACCGATGCCACACAAAGACGACAATGACGAGGTCTGTGCAGGAACGCGATGGAACGAGGCTGTAGAACACTGTTCTTTGCTTAGACCATTCAACAGAACAGCACTGCTGGTGACACTTACATGAAAACTGAAATGGATGCACAAATTGGGGTCATTCTTTGCAGCTCTAACGAGTATTAATCACATCACAACTTGTGAATTCCTCACAGTGACTACAGTGGAACCTTGTGAATTCTTCATTTCCAACCGATCAATATGACCAGCTCAAGCTGGGCGATACTTCACTTCTGGCAGTAGAAATGGTTAATGTACGACGCTGCAGTCATTGCAGAAACCCACTGGGGAAACAAATAAAAATATCAAATGCCTCAGCCTCACCAATTTCATTGGTGGCACGACAGTCATCAAGATCTATAGCAATCAAATGGCTGGCGGAAATGGCGTGCGTAATTTGGGGTGCAGGACCTTTTTAAGGCATGTAGCAAAGCTTAAACTTGGACTAGTTAGTATGGCATTCTAATGTTTTTTTGGAACAGTGGAAATTATGAAGGCGTATTTAAGGCTTAATTCACACAATAACACGAGCTTTCCTTATATTAGTCTCAGTGAGGCAGCCTTTGACTTTATTGATTACACTTAGATTAGTTAAGACAGCACACGCGAGACATGAGGGCTCCAAATCAGCTTGGTTTCACGATTACCACGTTGTGACATAGTCATCCGCTGTTCTCTTCACTAAAACCTCATTATAACAAAGTAGCATATGTCACAAAAATAACTTGGTTATATCCAAAATTATGCTCTAAACATATGTTTGTAACACTGCATCTACAACAGAACTATTCTTCAGTTACTTCGTTATAACCAATAATCCATTATATTCATGATCAGTAGATCTAGATTTGAGTGTAACTCTCTGACGTGCTTTTGTGGAAATAAAGTGAAAGTTTGCACACCACTTTCCGAGTACCCTTTTCATGTGTGTTAATGCTTTATTATGATGTTGAAATCAGGTGGAAGCCCAGTGCAACATAATTAAAATGGCCTACCAATCTTTGTAACTTCGCTCGTTCTTGACAGATTTGAGAAATGTTTGTGCCAGTTATGAAGCAATAAACTCCAGTAATGACGGTAATTGATGGATTGTTCATCATTAATCCTGTGTATTTTGCCCTAACATGTTTCATGTTTTTGTTTTTTTACGACAGGGCCACTCGAGTTTTGTCATTCATCTGGACTGGGCAGTTGATAGCACGTACCTGAGGTCGTGTTCTGGTGACTACGAGCTCCTCTACTGTGAGTGTGTCTTCGATAAACCATATATGTTGGAAGAGGCCTTGAGCAAGATGCACTTGTGGGGGGTGAAACTGTATTTGTAACACTTGAGCTGTGGCTGAATTGCATTCGGTGGTCGCTAGGTGGCCTCAGAGGAAGCAATAAGTGGAAGAGAAAGAGCAAAAATGTCATGGTTGAGTGGTATTCTATTGATCTCCATTTCTACATACTGCAGCCCATTACGGACAATGTCACGTTTGAATTGCAGACAAAAAATCTGTTATTTACAAAGCGCAAACAAACCAGGGCAGTGCATTCCAATGAAGAAAAATTACTACATTTGTACTAATCAGTTCTAAATTTAAGTGGCAATAGATTAAGCCTATGCAAGCTACGTGAGTACAGGAAGGTTTAGCAAACGAAGTATGCTCACACCTCATTCTAGGAAAGTTGCATCTTACATGAAAATGAGTTGTCCTAAAATTCGTTATAAAGGTATATATGTACAGTAGAATCTCGATGATACGAATTCAAAGGGAGTGCGTAAAATATTCGTATCAGCCTGAATTCGTATGAACCAAAAAGAACTTAAAGCTGATAAAAATGATGGAACAAGAACTTCATTGGCAACTACACCTTGCTGAAAAAAAGTGTGTGATGTGCTTTTGAACTTTCCTGATTTCACCGTCTCTTAATTAAGTGCCGCGGTTTCCTCACTCATGCTGCTGGTGCAGCGCCCTCACAGTTGACATCAGAGTGAGCGAAAGCGGCCAAACTCATTGGAAATTATCTCGCTTCCCCGCTTAGGCAGCCGGAAAGCCGTGCCATGAAGTCGACACGAAAAAATATGAGTCCTGGAGAATTCGCATTGGAGAATTCATGCGAAAATGCCAGCGCGACCAGAAAACGACGTCTGCGCCCGTCGAAAATGCTCAAATTTGTTTTGCCCCTCGTATACATGCCACCCCCGCCATTGCCGCTTGAGAATTCATTCCATTTTGCCCGTTTCCTGAGCACTGAAGTTTGTACCGAGTTATATTATGCATACAAGGCACTGAAAAGAAACAGTTTACAGCTTTACTATTGTTAGTTCGGAAGACACACCAGCCGAAATGACACGAGTGGACACAGCGGCGGCAACGGATTCAGCTGGCTACACTTTGCAAGCAGGGGCATGCTATTTACCTTTCTCTTGTATTGTCGGCCTGGGAGTCGCATCGCAAAGCTTATTTCTGGCAACCATAAGGGAGATTCGCAGGAGAGAACAGACCTATGCTGCAAATGTCTATTGATATGACAACATGTGCGAGGAGGAACAGGAGGATAGTGACATTGAGTTAGCTTTAAGGTCTAATGCACGCACACAGTCATTTTCCAGTTTTGTAGTGGGAGGAGTGGAGCTATTGCTCGCACAGCTCTTTATCAAAAGAGAAAGAAGCTTGTCGGTCATTATGGGGCTCAAAGAATACCATTAGTGCAAACCTTCCTCCTTCATTTTTTTCTCCCGAGCATGCGGTTTCCTTTGGTGTTTAGTGCCTCGTTTGACAGCATAAGGCAAGAAAGACAGTGTTTTTTGCAGCACAGCACTGCATTCAGTGTATTTAATGCAGAGCTGAACACGGAGGTTGACATACACGCAGTACGGTGCTACAGCGCTGTGCTATAACAGTCGAACCCATTTCATAAGAGGCACTGATGTAAGAGACAAATGGGTATAAGAGACACCAGTGTGCCTGCATTAAAATGGGTTGATAAGAAAACGGATGCATGGTACCCTGCTTATAAGATATAAAAGACAGTTGCTGCCCGGTGCATGTCTCTTATAAAGGGGTCCAATATCAATATTGTCACAATGAGTCACAAGTACTGGGGGATTTATTAAACCACCAGGTAGCTAGCCCTAGGTCGATGCGTCAGTCGTGGCTGGCTCTCAAGCAGAGAAGAAGCACGCGATCTTCTTTTTTTCTCCAGATTGAGAGCCGCTCTTGCTGTCAACCCACTACGTGCTGGTGGCATTATCCCCCCTTCCGAAAAGAAAAAAAACAAGTACCAAAAAGAGGAAAGGAAAGTACATAGCAGCACCGCGATGCTACTTCATAGGCACGTGAAAAAAAAAATTGAAAATTCGGATAAAGTGAAAGTAAAAATTGAAGAGCGTGCCAATATAGGAAACGTCAATGAACGAGAAAGTAAGTTCACAAAATAAACAAAAACACAAAGGACGCTGTACGGTAAAGGAAAAGCTACGAACAACGCGCAATAAATGGTTTCATGCGCAACACATGAACGACGTCCGGCCTCAGCCGTGTCCTGCTCCGTGCATGGGGTGTTGAGTCCGGAACCACTTCGTAGTTGACGTCACTGACGCGGCATAACACTTTATATGGGCCAAAGTACCGGCTCAGCAACTTTTCACTAAGGCCACAGCGGCGGACGGGCGTCCACACCCAAACTTGATCTCCGGGGCTGTAAAACACTTCTCTGTGGCGGGTATTATAGCGTCGTGCGTCTGCCTGCTGTTGCTGGCCGATGTGAAGTCGCGCGAGTTGCCGGGCTTCCTCAGCACGCTCTGCGAATTCTTTGGCGTCTGTTGCAAACTCGTCTTCGTCCTGACACGGTAGCATTGAGTCTAGCATGGTCTGCACTTCGCGGCCGTAGAGAAGCCGAAATGGCGTGAATCGCGTGGTCTCTTGCACGGCCGTATTATACGCGAAGGTCACGTAAGGTAAGATCCGGTCCCATGTTTTGTGTTGTACGTCGATGTACATTGAGATCATGTCTGCGAGGGTCTTATTCAGTCGTTCGGTAAGTCCGTTGGTTTGCGGGTGGTACGCAGTTGTCCTTCGGTGTCTGGTGTTGCTCAGTTTGAAAACTTCGTCCGTAAGCTGCGCCGTGAATGCCGTCCCTCTGTCCGTTATTACACTGGAAGGAGCACCGTGTCGTAACACGATGTGGCGCATGAAAAATTGTGCTACCTCAGAAGCCGTGGCTCGTGGGATCGCCTGGGTTTCAGCGTAGCGTGTCAAATAGTCGGTCGCGACGATCACCCATTTGTTGCTGTCCACAGACATAGGAAATGGCCCGAGAATGTCCATGCCGACTTGGTCGAACGGCGTGCAGGGTGCTTCAATGGGCTGAAGCAAACCAGCTGGCTTAACAGATGGTTGCTTTCGGCGCTGACATTCCCGACAGCTCTTGACGTACTTCTTTACGCTTGCTGAAAGTCCTGGCCAATAGTACCTCTCGCTCACTCTGGCAAGTGTCCTTGAGTAGCCCAGATGACCGGATGTGGGTTCGTCATGGCAAGCGAAGAGGACGTCATCTCGCATGTCTCGAGGAACCACCAGGAGGTAAGCACGGTTGTTCGAACGAGCGTTCTTCTTGTACAGCACACCGCCTCGCAGGCAGAACGACGTCAACGAGCGGGATAAATGACGTGGTATGATTGCGCCCTGGCCCTCTAAATGATCAATGATTGGATGAATCTCTGCATCATCTCGCTGTCGTTTGCTCAAGTCTGATGCACTAACGGCGCCCAGAAAGCCTTCGTCTTCCTCTGCTTCCTGACTGTCAACTGGAAGGGGTGCGCGTGACAGTGTGTCAGCGTCTTCATGCTTACGGCCGGACTTATGGACGATGGTGACATCAAATTCCTGCAGCCGCAAGCTCCACCGTGCTAGCCGACCTGAAGGGTCGCGCAGGCTTGCCAACCAACAGAGCACGTGATGGTCCGTCACTATCTTTAAGGGACGACCATAAAGGTACGGGCGGAACTTGGTGATTGCCCACACGACTGCGAGGCACTCTTTCTCCGTAGTGGAATAATTCGCCTCAGCACGGGATAGAGAGCGGCTGGCGTAGGCTATCACTTTTTCGATGTCCTCTTGACGCTGAACGAGCACTGCACCGAGCCCAATGTTACTAGCGTCGGTATGGACCTCCGTGTCAGCATCATCGTCGAAATGAGCGAGAACGGGCGCTGATTGCATGCGCTGTCGCAGCTCATCAAAAGCTGCTTGTTGCTCGTTTTCCCAGACAAACGACGTGTCGTCCCTTGTGAGACGAGTCAGAGGTTCTGCTATCTGTGAAAAGCCATGAATGAATCGGCGATAGTAGGCGCACAAACCAAGGAAGCGCCGGACGGCTTTCTTATCGACAGGAGCTGGTAATTCGGCAACAGCGGCAAGCTTGTCCGGATCGGGACGGATTCCTTCGGCGCTAACTACATGTCCAAAAAATTTTAGTTCTTTATAGCCGAAGTGGCACTTCTGTGGCTTTAGTGTGAGGTCCGCCGATCGGATAGCCTCCAGCACGCTGCGCAGGCGGTGAAGGTGCTGCTCGAACGTGGTAGAGAACACCACCACATCATCAAGGTAGACAAGACAAATCTGCCACTTGAGCCCTGTGAGGACAGTGTCCATCATTCGCTGGAAAGTTGCCGGTGCTGAACACAAGCCAAAAGGGAGCACTCGAAATTGGTATAGGCCGTCTGGAGTCACAAAGGCTGTTTTCTCACGGTCTCGCTGATCTACCTCGATTTGCCAATACCCGCTTTTGAGATCGAGAAAAGTAAAATAATGGGCACGACGAAGTCTATCCAGCGAATCGTCGATACGTGGTAGCGGATACACATCCTTTTTCGTCACGTTGTTAAGCTTCCGGTAGTCGACGCAGAAGCGTAGCGAACCGTCCTTCTTTTTGACAAGTACGACTGGAGATGACCATGTGCTGTTAGATGGTTCAATAACGCCATCGTCAAGCATCTCGGTGACTTGCGTACGTATCGCTTCACGCTCTTTGGCTGACACGCGGTAGGGGTTCTGGTGTATCGGACGTGCATCCTCGTACGTGATGATCCTGTGTTGAGTGATGGACGTCTGGCGGATCTTTGAGCAAGTTGCGAAGCAAGACCTGAACTCGAACAAGAGCGCTCGTAGCGCAGTCTGGTTAACGGAGGACAGATGAGGATTGATGTCAATATTACTCAGTGACGTGTCTGCGGTATCCACTATTCCCGACGTGAGACAGTTGGTGACGTTTGCTACTTCGTGGGCAAACGCTATCGAAGTGCCACGGAAAAGATGTCGATGCTCGTTGCTGAAGTTGGTTACGAGCAATTCAGATCGGCCATCACGTAGGTGTATTACACTTCTAGCTACACAAATGCCTTGCTGCAGGAGGTGTTCTAAATTTGTCTCAGCCACCACATCGCCATCGCCCAAACCACAGCATGTTACGTCGACTAGAACACTTGTTCATGGAGGAAGCGTCACACTCTGTTCAGAATACGTAGTACGTCGACACGCCTTCCACCATCCTGCACGTTGATTGCTCGCTGGGCTGAGAACGTGACGCGGCGCTCTTGCAGATCAATGATAGCTCCATTTTCTTGTAGAAAGTCAACCCCCAGAATGACGTCACGGGAACATTCGCGTAGAACAAGGCAGCTTGCTACGAATGTGTACCCTTGAATTTGTACTCTAGTTGTGCAGGCACCCAGTGGAGTTACGACGTGGCCACCAGCTGTCCGAATCTGCGAGTTATGCCACGGCGTGATGACTTTCTTCAGCTGCGTTGTCAGTTTCCCGCTCAGTATGGAATAGTCTGCGCCGGTGTCCACTAACGCATTAACTGCAAAACCATCAATTGTCACTGCTATGTCGAGTGAAAGTTGGCCATCCTTTGCAGCGGTATGTGATGTCGGACCGGTTTCTGTACAGTTCTGCGTCAATGGGAGGTCTTCAGCGCTTCGACGTTCAGCGACCCCGCCCCCAGAGGTCGCTTGGTCTAGTTTTCCCGACGGGGGCTGGGAGACCGTGTGGTAGAATACCGCTGGGGCGTTGATGAAAATCGCCTCGGTGATGGCGAGCGCGACTGGTGCCCGGCAGATGGTGGTGCATGCTGCTGGGAGAGGTAGTTTTCGATGTCGCGCGGTCTCTGGCCGTAACGGGGTGGCGGTGAGTACGCAGAGAAGCCGCGAAGCCCAAGACGGCGATATGGGCACTGGCGGTACAAGTGATCAGCTTCTCCACAGTGAAAGCACAGAGGCCGGCGATCAGGTGTGCGCCAAACATCAGACTTTCGAGGAGACGTGCGCCGATCGTCGATGTACTGAATTGGTTGCACTGAACGATGGGCGACAGAAGCACCAGGGACAAAGGCCAACGGTGGTGACGTGTACGTGCCTTCGTAGTACGGTATGTGCTGTGCTGACTGTAGTGAAACAGCAGGAACAGGATGGACGAATAATGGCGGCGATGCAGCAGGGCGTTTCAAAGCTTCCGCGTAGGTTGTCTCACGGCGGTATTCAGCAGGAGCTGGCACAGCTGTATCATGAGGCAAGGTGTCCCGGAGGGCCTGGTGCAGCTCATCCTTGATCACAGTTGCAATAGAGTTTACTGTAGGATGAGGTGTTACACCAGCCTTTTGTAACTCTTCACGTATTATACCACGGATGAGTTCACGTAGACAGTCGTTGTTGGTTCTAGTGGCGGTGAAAATGTCGGCAGTAGACATGCCATTGACTTGCCTGTTGTATTGGTTGGATCGCTGCTGCAGCATTTTTTCCATTGTCACGGCCTCGGACAAGAACTCCGCGACCGTCTTCGGAGGGCTACGCACGAGGCCGGCAAAAAGCTGGTCCTTGACACCGCGCATCAAGTGACGCAACTTCTTGTCCTCCGTCATTCTTGAATCAGCCCGTCGGAAGAGGCGCGTCATGTCTTCGACGAACGTGGTCACAGTTTCGTTTGGCAGCTGGACGCGGGCCAGAATAGCTCGTTCAGCTCGTTCTTGGCGATCAGCACTGGCATAGGTCTGCAGAAGTCTACGAGAGAATTCGGGCCACGTCGTCAGCTGTTCCTCTCGGTTTTGATACCATGTACGTGCCCCGTCTTCGAGATAGAAGTAGACACGACCCAGTTTCGCCGCGTCGTCCCACTGATTCAAGGTGGCTACGCGCTCGAAATCCGCCAACCAGTCCTCAACGTCCTCATGCTCCGAGCCATGGAACGTCGCCGGTGCGCGTGGGCTTTCCAACGTGTAGCGGTTCGACGTCGTGCTTCCCGTGCCGGTTGCCGATGTTTGCACCGAAGCGCTGGTCATGTTTGTCGACGTGGTGGGAGCAGTATCGTCGGCTTCCGGAGGCAATCCCCTGATTCGGCGGCTGGTCCGATGCACGGGAGTAATCACTGGCCCTGGACTCGTATCGCGGCTTCCTGGGGGGGTCTGCAGCATCCGTGAGACTACCCAGCACTTCCACCAGTTTGTCACGATGAGTCACAAGTACTGGGGGATTTATTAAACCACCAGGTAGCTAGCCCTAGGTCGATGCGTCAGTCGTGGCTGGCTCTCAAGCAGAGAAGAAGCACGCGATCTTCTTTTTTTCTCCAGATTGAGAGCCGCTCTTGCTGTCAACCCACTACGTGCTGGTGGCAATATCAATGGAGAATAAATATTTGCAGGTTTAACATGTGCGTGCTTGAATTCATCTTGCAATTCCCGAAGGAAGATTTCATTTTGAATTGTGCATAAGGATGCCATTGCCAACAATGCTGGTCAACTTTCTCACTGTTGTTGATTGCGACTTCCAATTCTCATGTTCAGGGAATGCCTTGGTTTGTCGGCAAGTCACCAACATGTCCATCACTCGAGACCTCAAGTGGCACACGCAGACGTGCACCATTGGCTTCAGCGTCTATGGTAAGTTAGTGCGTTCCCTTAAGTCTTTGTGTTCATGTCAGTAGGAGTTAATGTGTGAGCTACATCGTGCATAGCTTTCTGCGACAGTTATACGAGTGCTTTCTCTTCTTCTTTATTTAACTAGACGTGATTTACTGTAGGCTTGTTTACACGACCCTGTTAGGCCGATTTTCCATCTGCATTCGTGAGATGGGGAGCAGCTGTGCAATGACACCTCGCATTGTTGACATCAGACGGGCGGTGACGTGCTATCACGCGTGTGCTAGCACGCTAAGCTTCTTAGTGCAGTTGAGATGAAAGGTGTGTAACACGTTTTTCGTGCCTGTTGCAGGTATCTGGCCTGAGAATGCTGATGGAACAGACATAAACACGTGCTCTCGTTCTCACTCGGGCCGACTACTCGCCACCGGTGATGACTTCGGCAAAGTCAGGCTGTTCTCCTACCCTGCATCACTGCCCAAGGTACTGCCGTTTGTTTAGTGATACTTGTTTACTTGTTTGTTTATTATGAAAGCTCTGTAAAACATTCTAAGGTTACCTATATTTCTTGTGCATTTCTTAACGGAATTAGCACAATAAAGGGTGCTAAATAGAAAAAAGATTTTTCTTGTAGTAGTGAATTGCAGTTTGGCAATACTGCAAGTACCACTTTTTTCTGCGAGAAGGTGCTTGGTAAGCGAGCTAATGTGAAGAAAAAAAAAAATACAGCTCGCAACGCTGCCGTGAAGTTCCCACACTAGCTTGTCAAGTCACAGACTTTGACGGTGTCTGCTGGGGCCTGCGTGATCGATTTTCTCGAAAATGGGTTTGCGTTGCGTTCTAAGAGGCACAAAGCTTTATTAACGTAGGAATTTCAAAATTTCATTGAACCATGAACCAATGTGTCCAAAATATGCAAAAAGAATCTTAAATTTGTAACGTCACGCAGATGTCCAGTTGCTGAAGTTCCCGCAGTTCGGTCATTAAACTCTGACTTCATTTAGTTTTAGTAATTAATCTATCGTGGTAAAATTATTGACAATCGAGTTCTGAAAGTCCCTATCATGGTAAAATTATTGACAATAGAGTCCTGAAAATATAATTCGTCTGTCAAAAGTGTCTCACTGTTTCACTTTAGGATACCTTTAGTAACCACAAGAAATGCATTAAAATATGCCATTTTTATTTGAGAACATAAAAGAATTCATTTGAAAAAAAAACATTAACTTTCCTGCGTGGCTTCCGCTCACTTTTGTTTTTGGTATTACAATAGAAAACATTATGGTACTGTATCACCACTTGTGCATGAAATAAGGGGATTGAGCACCTGGATTCCCTCCGATAGTTTTTGGGGAGGATGATGTGTTGTTTTACCGATTGATCTTGCCTAATCTATGGTAGAGGATGTGCTAAGTTTCCCTTGCGAGAGGTGTAGGGGTAAAGAATTAGTGAAATTCCATTGCACCACTTCTATCCTGACCCAGTGCCTGAGCCACATGTACGGCGGCCACAGCAGTCACGTGACTGCGGTGGACTTCCTCCCCGACGACAACCGGCTCATCTCCCTGGGTGGGCGGGACTGTGCCGTTCTCCAGTGGGCCGTCGTCTGAAATAGCAGCTTGCACAGAAAGGAAAAGGGGTCGTCGTGCCCCACGCTTCAAAGTCACGTGACAAGGAGTTGCAACTCTTCATCCAGGACGACGCAGTACGACATGTAAAAAGTGACAAAGAGCTATTTCGAAAGATTTTGCTCGTGTAGATTGTGCTGACCAGTGTTCCAAGGTGTCGGCGCATCGGAATTTTCTGTTGGCAACAAAGATGTTGATGGTGGCCCAAAGAGCGTTCCAAGGGTGGCTACAAAAGGCGCTTCGGTTGTCATGTGTATGTTCACAGCCTGTGATTGTCAGTCGTTGGAGTGTTGTCGTGACCGCCTTTTGCATCGTGTGCCTCGGGTCTGCAATTGGGTCGGCAGTCAGTGTAGGCGAACGTGCAAGGGTGCTTTGAGAAGCTTACCGTGCAAGAACCGCGCAAATGTGCCTCAAAATTTACGACTGAAAAAGTAGTCTTTTTTTTATCTCCCGCTGCCACTGATTGCTGGTCCCGAGTGAAATTAGCTTATACACGTTACAGGCTGCTTGTGCAAACAGTTGTTTCTTCAGTTATTAGACGTCAACGCACAGCTCAGCTTTTTACACAAAAGCAAATGTAGGTGCATTTGGAAAAATCATATCTGTATGCTGATCGGGTTAATGGTGGTAATCGTCAGTGGAGTTGTTTTTAGCTACTTCAGTGATTGTGACAACACTTTTTTTTTTGTAATCGTTATATCGACACTCGATATGCAGTCGTAAGCATCGACCGCAACTGTCGTCTGTTCTGGCAAGAAGAGGTAGACCCAGTTGTTTTACCTTTTGTGCAGCTGTGGTTGTTTGTAACGGAGCGTCAGTGTATCATTGTCAGGATTTAACTGCACACTGCCCACTGGATCATTGTAAAGTGTGTTTCAAATCGCAGTTCAAGTTGCATGTTTTTTGTTTGTGAGTTCATTTTTCAACACGCCTCGTCCCATCTGCATTTGAGCATGATTTCCCGTTTCGTTCTAAGTTTGACGAGATTGTTACCTGGCAATCGCATCGCCATGCATCGTTGTTCCAGACCGTCTGTTTAAGTTCCTCTGCTAATTGTGTCCAAAGTTTTATTTCTTCTCCTTTAATCAAATCTAAGCACAAGGACAGTGAAATGTGATTGTGATGATCACTAATCATCTATCACTTATCACCTGAGAATCATCATCTGATCGCTTCATGCTGATCTAAGCTTGGTGCTGAATACATGCCTCGGCTACCAGGACTATGCGAAGTTCTCGCATGCTTTGCTCTGCGTGGGTAATCATAGTTCACTTTTTCTTTCTTTTGATGGGCAGGTCTGGCTTGTGTTTCATAAGTGAAGGCTCTCTTTCAATAGTGTGTACTTTCGTCATTATGCGTAGCTGTTTTTAAGTGACTACATTTTTCATAGATGAATCTAGGTCTAATGATATTAGATATAACTTTCATCTGACTGTGCTTTACATTTTTTCTCAATTGGTCATTTGTTTGGAGCCAGCAATGACATATTTGTGCAATTTCAATTCAACCAGCCTCTCTCCTTTCATGCGTGGTGTTATGATACGCTGGAAGTTGATAGCTGGAAGTTGATGCTTTACGAAGTTGTGATTGTGTGATACTTTCAAATTTTTGCACTTCATGGGGCAAAGTTTAATACGAATTACTTTGTCTGCTCTCGCAGCATCTCTTGCCCTGTTCATTTAGTTCCATTGCTTGGTACAGTACCGTTGTAGATTTCGAGAAACTGCCATGAAAGAAAGCTTTTGTTGGCTTTGGATTTGGCTATCGACATTTTTGTGGTCTGCAGTTTTAGTGGGAGGGAGGAAGGACTGTGATCTGACCCTTCAAATTTGAGACGTTGCTGTATGAGATGACACAGATGCTTTGTAAAACCATCCACGTCGGCAACGTTGCACCGCAGTCTATTTTCGACTTGGAGTGTGCCTGTTGACTTGAGCTCAGTGTGTGATATATACGTCAAAAAAAAAAAAAAAAAAAAAAGACGTGGGATTAACGGCAAAAGGGGAGGCATGAGAAAGTGTTTATGATGATTCAGGTTGAGACCGCTTTCTCAGAGTCTGCAATACGTGCGTTAGATGCGCGTAGATTGCTCTGCACAGTTCCGGTGGTTACCATTGCAGCTGTGGTGCCGTAATTATGGCGCTTCTTATTTGCTGTCTGGCTGAAAAAAAATTCAGGGACATCAGGTATGCAAAGTGTTTGTTGTGTTAGCTATTGCAACACTGTCACAATCAGTGTGAATCATTTTTGTGTGTGACACGGACATATCACGGTTTAGTTGAAAAAGTGGTTCACCTGTGTGTAGCGCGTCGGTGCGCAGTGTTTCTCACACCTTGCATGTTGTGTTTGTAACTTGCGGGCGCTTTGCTACATATTTGACGGATAGATTGTATTGATGGCACAGATTCATTCCCGGTGGAAGCTTTGAATGATATGTTGGAACAGCATTTTTAGTGCCACAATCAAGCATTGCACAAAAGCTGCGAGGGTATGCACAAGAAGCATCCACTTCGGTTAAATTTTTGGTAAGATATTCATCTTTCATGGCTGTATAGTCAAGCAGCAGACACTTTCAATGCAAGTTATGATAATTTCGGCTACATTAGAAAATATTTGACTTGCTGCTAACAACTGTACACTCCTGTATTGCAGTAATTTCTTATTATAGTGATAGTTCTGGATCATTATATTCATACTTTTTCAGCTAAGCCTGTGTCTTCACTACCCACTAGTGCTTTAATATCTTCAGCGAAACATTTTGGCAATATCAAAATATTTTTTGTGATGAGGTGTCTTTGAATTTTCTTGCTTGTTTGGCTTAGTAGGAGAATGAGTACACTCAAGCTATTTTTCTAGCGTTTTTATAGAAGTTGTTCTGAGGCCTGAAATGAGTGAAGTTATGTTGCTGATTTTTCGGTGCTTGTATTTTTTTTTGTGCAGATTTTTTTAACGAGGCTGTTTGAGTATATAGCTAGGAGTGTGGGAATCATTCAGATCATCAGAGATTTTTATTGTTGACATGTACGGAATGTGGAACAGGTATTTCTTGCTAAACGTGTCGCATTTATTTTACTACGTTCAGATTGTGTATACCCCGAGTACTGACTCCTCTAAGTAGCGTGATTGAAGTTGTCTGAAACAAAATGTTTGCCAGAGAGCCTTTTTCATGGACTTTGTTTTTCTTGTTATTTTGATTCCCGCTGCTCTTGGCAGACGTTGTGTAGCATGTACAGCGAGATTGCTTCAAAGTTTAATTGCAATTTGACAGCTCAGCCCCCATGGCATGAAGAAAGGTTACATTGTTGTTATGCTTTAATTATAATCAACTCAAGTAGGTTACAATCCTGGTGTATTCATTAATTGCATTGCATGCCCATGCACAGCTGTCCAAATTTATTTGTTCCTTCAATCAAAACAGCCTGGTCTAAATGAATGCGAGGCGAATCGAGCAATACTCTGTGAGCTTTTCTACAGCAAAGTGCATCAAACGTGCTTGTATACCGGTGTTTGTTAGTGTTTTTCAAATGCGTACATACTTTTTTGACGTGATTCACTGGTAAGCTATGGTCAAACCATTTCTGGCAGCAGGTCTGTTACTTGCCGGTCCACATTGAATAGACATCTGTAACGTCAGTTCATCGTCACATAACAAGATATTGTTTGTCCAACTGGTCAAAGACTAAGTGCCGAGTACGAGGCGGTGTATTATGCGGTGTAAATGATATGCTCTAATTAACTCGCATGTGTCTTGCGTCTGCTGTTATTTTTTATCGCTTCGACAGTGAATTATAAGTTTGCAGCTGTTTAAGGTTCTACGCTTACTCTTTGAAGTTGAAGAATGTTGTTTTTTTTAGCGGTATTTACATTTGTTGCGATGTTTTATGAAGTACTTGGTTGTTTTGTGTTGCACGGTGCGTTATGACTGTTGTCCGATTTATACGCCTAGTGTTTTTCATTTTTCACAGTTATGTATCACTCTTTTATTTCATAGCATCATAAGTGCACGTAATTGTGTAGTTGTTTACCTGTAAAGGTAAATTTCAAGTTTTGTAAAATTGGTACGTCTCCACACTTGCCAACTAACAAATCAGGAAGGCTTTCTTCACAATTTTAGAGGATGCAGTTAACACTGGTCCTCAAAAATAAATTCCTGCAGGGTGCAGCTGTTTATTTTTCTGCTTTAAAATTGTATTGAAGAAGCATTCTTGTGACTATACTGATGTTCACCAGACAGTTGAGAGGTTTTGTGTAGAACTGTGCGTGTGAGCGTGCGAAGCATGTTTGTGATTGTACATGTGGTGGGTTTAGGATTGTACAAGGAGGATTGTACACATGGAGGGCGTTTTGATTAATTATATTGTGTCCGTTATTGTACGTTCAGGGTACTTGCAGAACACTTCCTGCTGCATTCAAAAATGCACTCAGCTGTATTGTATCTCTCATATGTGCTGAATGGGTGGAGGAATACGTATGCATAACGAGTGAGTCGTGCGTGAACAAACCTCCAAATTGAAATTCTAAAATGCGAGGAGGAGATAATAATTGGATATAATTGAATGTGGACTCTTTCTGTAGGCAAAAAGGCAGAGGTGCTTATCAGCCCATGACACTGCGTGAAGTTTTGTAATCAGAGACCTTCCTACAGAGCAAGTCGAGGCGTTTTACTGAACTACAGTCAGTACTTTATCAATGCTAACTACCGTGCAGCCCAACAACGTAAAAGCGTTAGTGGCATTCGTTAATCTTGAGATGCAAACACTGTCAGGCTAACTGCTTTGGTAGCTTTTAGATGTTATTATTGAATGCAATTATGCATGTGGAGTGTGGTTTTTCTCTGAGGTCATTTTATTTCTTGATCTTTTTGAGAAAGAGGGTCTTTTTCACATCAAGTGCTTCAGCAGCTCCTTGCTCAACGTTGCAGCTCGAAGCATCCCGAGCGCACAGTCGCCTGAATTGCACCACATCGTCCACTGAAGTGTTTCTCTTTTTCGATAACGTGTAACTCAATTGTGAGTCATGTCCATAACTGGCATCTTCACATGAATGTCTCGAGACACAGTCCACATGTATGATGTAACATGCAGCACAAGTTATGTACAGCACACGAGAGAAGAGAGGTCATGTGAAGGCTGCTTGCGGCCGATCATTTCATCTGTCACAACGTCACTGTAGCCTTCGATATATTTTTTTCACGCCTACGTGGTACGAGCGAAGGTGCGTAGTTCACTGCGTACATTATGGCTTGCTACAATTGTGGGGGTGTGATCCTTGGTCAGGTTTAGAAATGTGTAGGCCCAAGTGCATTCCCTTCATCGCACTGTCTTTTTTTTTTCTTTACTTCTGTAGATTTAAGGTGTGCGTACAAAGGCTATTGCGACACCATAATATTGTAATATTCTTTTTCTTTTTTTGTCTGAGGGTTGAACGAGAGCTGGAATCAAGGAAGGAAATTCTGAAGTTTGAGACAAGAGTAGCTTTCTATCGTACAGTTAGTTTGAACTGCTTAAAAGTGTATATAAAGAGTTAGTGTGACAGTTTTTCTTGAAGTAGGAAAGAAAGTTTTACAGACATCTCTTGAGTTTTGAGCGATTCACACAGCATCTCACTGAATTTAATTGTCTATCACTGTGAGTCAGTGATCAACATATTCATAATCCAATTCTACAAGTTTTTCTAAAGCTATTATAGAAGAGTTTGTAAAATTGTGTCAAAAAGTTTTCTTCAGTGTTGTCTTATATTTTGCACTATTCCTGGGAGCATCGCAAACCTATGTACACTTTCACAGTGTCTGCGAATGTTTCCTAACCGAACTCTCCCATTATTGTTGTTCTGTATGCTTTCGCTATTACTTCTAAAGAGAAAGAAATGCCGTTAAGCTCATCATTTTCGTGCAGATAATGCAAAAACATGAGAAATTATGAGGATCCATTTTATGTCCATTTTGTGAGCATGTGTCTACTCATTGCAAAGTGAAACTACCATTCACAGCTCACTGCATCCATTAGCATGGTGCGCAGACAGCTTTCGTTTTCGTACGCACATGCCAGTGTGTTGGGCACATCACCATCATAATGTTACTTTTTAATTTTTTTTTAGGTTGAATATATAGCACTTGCAAATAACCGGTAGCGATAATATATACAACAGGAGCATCATTGTGCACCCTGAAATGTCTTTGAGCTCGGAGCGGTGAAAGTTATTGTCGCACACGAGGGCTGCCGCAATATGACGAAAAGTTTTTCTGTGCGCAGCTAGGCATTCGTCCTGCATAACGCGTCGTCCATATACTTCTTTGCCAACACGGATGATCCTCCGAGCCTCGTGTGGATTTGGAGCCGCGATTGAAGTGTGACCGCCATGGACTGGCGATATTTATTATGTATCTGCTTTGAGTGAAAGCTGCCATCGTTGCTTCTCTCTCTGTAAATAACTAATAAAAGTGCACATCTTCTATGCTCTTTTGCCGGTTCGTTATTCTTTCTTTTGAGTCACCACAAATATCTTTCGTATGTCCCCTACAAAGCCATGTCTGCGGTCATCAGGATTTCTGACGTGAACGTCTGTGGAACGTACTGCAGAACCCCACACCTCGCATGGCTGTTTTCTAGATGTCTAAACCAGATTTGTAGTAGCGACATCTAGTTTGGTGTATGTTTATTGGTTGTTTCTAAGAGCAGATGCCAAGGGCATGTGAATTCATTGATTTCTTATATTAGAATATATAGTAAAAAAAATTCACTGGTTTATGTGTTCATCCTATGAATCCAAATGGCCATTGTGTAAAGTTTGGAAACAGGAAACTACGAAATATATTTGTTCCTGTATAATTAAGAGTTACAGATTTTGGTGGCCACGTTGTCGTACGTGAAAAAAACAGGCGTCAGTTGGGTTTCGAAATGCGGCCCTAGCTCGAAGGTGTTCCACTCGCATACTAATTTTCATGTTCCCCTTTGCAGTTGATGCCTCCTCATTGGTGGGCTTGTCGGTGACCAGCTGTTTTCGACATGGGGCTCTGACCTTTTCTTGAGATCATTTTGTCATTTTGCGTTGCCACATCTCATTGTTTGGGTTTGAACGCATGACCTAATTAGCGTTCCAGAGCTGGAACGCGAGTTTTAGACACGATGGCAACTGCGTGAGTGCACCCTCATACCACATCCCCAACCAATGAGAAGAATTTCGCCTTTGCCAAGCATACACAATGGCAACTAGAGTTACTGTATATACAGGTAACATATGCAGTAACTCTAATGGCAACTGCATGAGTACACCCTCAAGCCTTTGCCAGAATAGAAAAACACAGAAAAAAAATGCCCCCTTAACTGCATGTTTTGCTGCAAATATCGTCGAAAGTTTTCCCTTCTGCCGGCCTTCTTTCGTCTATAGTGTCGCATTTTCAGCGCAACCTAAGAAACACTAGGATCATCAGAATTACTTATCTCTATGTGTTTTTTAGCAAAGAAACTTGTTAGTGATCACTTAATACTGATGTTGCACCTCAGATATGCATAACATTTGCTTTTTGAACGACAATGTTCACAAGTATGAACACAGCTACCAGTTCAAAATGGCTGGGCATTAAACAAGTGTTAAAACATTGGCCAGGTGGCTGAATCGTGTCACAGACAGAACAGCAGACAAATTACTGCATTCAAGTATCCCAAAAAACACTATCATTTTTTAAAATTGGCAGCTTGTCAGCATGCTTCACTGCGAATGTCATCAAAATGACAATAGTCTTTGCCTTCCAAGCAGCCAGGCAAACGGAAATTCCAAGGACCAGGCAAACGGAAATTCGTTTTGCCTGGTCCAGACAGCGCCTCCTCTGCGTTGATAAACTAGAGAAGGAATGGAATGGAATGAAAAAGCTTTATTTCAGTCCTGCAGGACGCGCTTAGCTCGTAGCGGGCGTCTCCCACGTAGGGACCGACAGGGAGTATCTGGCGGCCGCTTCGTGGGCCTGCTGGACGGCCCATTGCTGGTCGATGAGAGGTGAGTTCCTGAGGGACCTCTCCCACTTGCTTGAGGTAGAGTCGGGAGGAGTTGTTCTACACTCCCAGAACATGTGTGCGAGTGTCGCTGTGTGTCCACATGATGGGCATGTGTCGCTGGGGTATGCATCGGGACAATAAACGTGAAGCGTGGCAAGGTTTGGGTACGTGTGTGTCTGTAATAGGCGTAGGGTTAATGCCTGCGGTCGGTTAAGTTTCGGATGTGGGGGTGGAAAAATGCGGCGTTCCAGTTAAAAGTGCTTTGTAATTTCATTGTACGTAATTGGTGCATCCCGATTGGTATCTAACCTAGCAAGATGAGGTTGCCCTGTGGCAGTGCGGTCGGTAAGTGCGCGCGCTGCATCATGGGCGATCTCGTTGAGGTTGGATAGGGCACCCGGCACCTGGCCGAGATGGGCGGGGAACCAGATGACAGTGTGGTGCTTCAGGGCACTCGGATCCGCATTGCGCAGGATACGTAACGCCTGGTCGGAGATGACTCCGCGTTCGAAGGCTTTGATGGCCGGCCTGGAGTCGCTGTAGATGAATTCCCGTTTGCTGTCGAGCGTAGCCATAGCTATAGCTACTTGCTCCGCTACTTCGGGGTTTCGGTTGAGGATTGTGGCTGAGTTAAGAGTCTGCTGCGCGGATGATACCGCGGCGAAGGCTCGGTTGTTGCGATAGGCAGCGGCGTCCACGAACGAGACGTTGTCCGCTTCCATGTCTATGCGCTTGAAAATGGCGGTCACCCGCGCAAGGCGCCTGCCTCTGTTGTATTCGGGGTGTACATTTCGTGGTATGGGAGCGATCGTGATAAGGTCGCGGATTTCATGGGGAATTAGAGTCAACTCTGGGGGGCCCCTGACCCTCGAAGAGAAGAAGCCGAGCTCGCGCAGAATATGGCGGCCCGCCTTGGTGGTAGTGAGTCGGGTCAATTGGACGCGTTCCTGAGCTTCGGCGATCTCTTCTAGCGTGTTATGTACGCCAAGCTCGAGGAGTTTGTACGTTGGAGTGGTGATAGGGAGGCCAAGGGCTCGTTTGACCACCTTGCGAATAAGCGCGTTGAGTTGATCGCGCTCAGCTCGTAGCCACTTGTGTATAGCGGCAACGTAGGTGAAATGGCACAAAACAAACGCGTGTACGAGACGCAGCAGGTTGTCTTCTTTGAGGCCATGGTGCCTGTTGGCTACTCTACGTACGAGTCGTATGGCATTCTCAGTCTTAGTCCTGAGCTTGTGTACTGTTTGGGTGTTGGTTCCGCGGGACTCGATGATCATGCCGAGGACCTTGATGGTGTCTACCCTGGGTACAGTACGACCATCTCTGGTGTGGAGGGTGATATTGCGTTCCGCCGGAGGTTTCCACCCTTTGGGCTTGGCACCCCGGCGTTTGGGCAAATATATCAACAGCTCCGACTTCGCAGGTGAGCACCTGAGACCGGTGTGGTCGAGGTAAGACTCGGTCGTGTCGATAGCCTCTTGCAGGGCGGACTCAATGAAGCCATCCGACCCTGTGGAGCACCATATGGTTACATCATACGCATAGATAGTGTGATTTAGCCCGTCTATTTTGGAAAGTCGTTCGGAAAGCCCGATCATCACGAGGTTGAAGAGCGTGGGTGAGAGGACGGATCCCTGAGGAGTGCCCTGCTATCCGAGCTCCACTTCTTCCGACACGAGGTCTCCTACGCGGATTGATTGATTGATATGTGGGGTTTAATGTCCCAAAACCACTATATGATTGAGAGACGCCGTAGTGGAGGGCTCCGGAAATTTAGACCACCTGGGGTTCTTTAACGTTCACCCAAATCTGAGCGCACGGGCCTACATTTCCGCCTTCATCAGAAATGCAGCCGCCGCAGCCGGGATTCGAACCCGCGCCCTGCGGGTCAGCAGCCGAGTATCTTAGCCACTAGACCACCGCGGCGGGGCGTCTCCTACGCGGAGGACGGCTCTGCGTCTAGTGAGAAAAGAGCGGATAAAGTAGTAAAATCGATTACCTAGGCCGAGGGCTGCGATCGCTTTCAAGATTGACGAGTGCGTTATTGTATCGAAGGCCTTTTCTAAATCGAGACCGAGTATTGCACGAGTGTCCCGAGTGTTTCCGCCATCTAGAATTTGATGCTTTAGGAGTAACATGGCGTCTTGAGTGGATAACCCTGGTCGGAAGCCAATCATGTGGTGCGGGATGCAGTCGTTATCTTCGAGGTATCGACCAACCCTGTTGAGGAGGACGTGCTCAGCTACTTTGCCCACGCACGACGTGAGAGATATGGGGCGTAGGTTATCTAGGCTCGGCGCCTTTCCTGGTTTGGGTATGAGAACCGTGTGAGCTAGTTTCCAAGCATCGGGTATCTCACCCTTTTTCTATATCTCGTTGATAGTGTCAGTGAGGTAAGTGACGGAGGAATCGTCCAGGCTCTGCGTTTTTACGCTGTGTGAGGTGCGGGTGCCAGCTAGCAGTGGTGGGGAGAAACGTAAGCTTGTAGGGAACCCAGAGCCAATGCCAGGTGGCAGCACCGTATTGTTGGCAGAGGGCTTTCTCTGGCATAATGCCGCATTTTCAGCGCAACCTAAGAAACACTAGGGTCTTAAAATTGGGTATCTAGTATTTTCTAGTAAAGGAACACACCACCTAATATGTATCGATGTTGCGCTAGAGATGTGGGTAATATTCGTTTTTCAATCGACATTGTTCACAAGCAAGAACGCAGCCATTTGTTCAAGATGGCTAGGCGTTCACTACTAAGTGGTTCTTAAGAGAGAAAGGAAGAGAAAAGTGAGCCCCGTAACTGTCTGCTTCAGCGAGCGACACCTCAACAGTAGCTCACAAGGGATGGGGGTGAGGAGGGATTAAAAGGGTAGGAATAAAGGTGTAGAAAAGAGAAAGAGGCGTGAGGTGGTAAGCCAGAGTGAGTGACGACAAATCGAGGGGATAGGAGAGATAGGAAACATGGGAACACGGTCACAGGAGTCCGAGGACGGGGCACCACTTGCGAGAGCTCTTGTCGGCGTCAGTAGATGGCGTAGAGCAAGTGCAGTCGGTCAGAGCTACACTGTCATCGAAGGTGGTCGGCGTCAGGAGATGACGTAGGGCGAGCCCAGCCGGCCAGATCTACGCTGACGTCGGAGATCGCGAGGGCACAACCGGTCGGCACGGAATCCAGCAAGCGAGTCCTAGGCGTTCAGCAAGCGCTTAAACTTTAGCCGGGTGACTGAATCGTGTGACAGACACACAGAAAGACATTTTCTGCGTTGAACTATCCGAAGAAAGACTAGTCTTTAAAAACTAGCAGTTCCGTTTACAAATATAACCGATGAGCGAAGCTCCCTACAAAATAGGACGCAAACGAGTATGCGCCTGATCTCTCTGCCAGCTTTCAAGAAGGCTGTATGGTGGGGGAAGCGTTTGCTGTGCTTGGAGGCGGGAACGACTGAGCGAGTGAGTGTACGGCGCGCGCAGCGCAG